TTATAACTCAAAGTTGTATAAAATTAATTAAATGATATTTGCATATCATTCGTTAATTATAACTTAATTTCATAAATCATACATCTAGAGCTTCATACCGAAATTAATTTATAAATGAACACACTTTGCGAAACAAATGTTAATACATTAGTTGAATGTTTTGGTAAAATCCCAAGCAGTACAAACAAAAAATCGAGTAAAACATAAATCTGCTGAGCATCTCAGAATTATAAATTAACGAACTTTGTACGTATTTTAGATTGATGTGTTAAAAGAACAACAAAGATTACTGAAGCCAAATTTGTGGTAATACAATCAGGCAAAATATGTCCTAATCGTAAAGTCCAAAGAGAGAAAGAAGACGACATTTTAGAATCATATAATCAATTTAAAAATAATAAAATAAGTATTTTTTATTTTTTAAATATTTAAAAATTTAAAAACAATTAATCAATTCTATAACTGTTTAACTTTATTATTTCCAATTTTACATATAAATTATAATATACCGAATAATAACATAATAAGTTATAATAATTAAATAGGCAATTATTCTATCAGTTTTCTCTAACACCGGGATTGTGCAATAACAAAATATACGTGAATCAAAAGTACATATTGCTGTGTTGAATGATCTGTATCAGTATTTAGTTGGATTTTTTTATTTAACGGAATCGATAAACAAATGAATCATGAATGAAGAACACAACCATTTCTATCAGTATACTTTGCAAACTACGCAGTTTATGATTTTCATAATTTTCCAAAACACTGCGAGAATAGGTATTGTGGTTTGCTTATGCTGAATGCACTATCGATAATACCATTATGGCTATCGCATAATGACAATTATGTGGTTTGAGCAAAGTAACTGCTTGTCCGGTGTGAGCAATAGATTCACGTTAGGGCTTGTTATAATATTGTACAACATATTATATAGAAAATACTGCAAAGCAAAAAAAGTATTAAGCATGCGTGCGCTCTTATGGTTGAGTAGTTTAGAGCCAACAAAGCGTAGGAATATTATATGAAGGGCTGCAGGGGAAAAAAGATCAATGTCAATTTTTTTTTGAAAATGAGATTTTGGTACCAAATTATTTGTATTGACGTATTATATCTTTTATGCGCTCGAACCAGGGAAAAACAAATTAGTCGAGAGCAACGACAAAAATTGACATTGATCTTTTTTCCCCGCAGCCCTTCATATGTATTCAACAAAAGGTTGCATTCAGACAAAGGCTACAAAAAATTCAGTAGACCGACCAGAAAAGGTATTCTAGAAACGTAAAATGCAAATTTTAAATAGACAATTTTTTATATTTATATATTTGTACTAACTTAATTCCAACGTTATAGACTACTTAGTTCAGTCCATTATATTCTTAAACACATAATCTATTAAGGACACTATTTGAAAACTGTACAACGAAAAATCTTTTTGGAAATCTCTACATCAACTTACACAAATGACTGTGTTTTGACACAACAATATATGTCACCTTAAATGAATTTGTTCGATACTTAGAAGTTAGAAATATGTGTATAAACGATAAAACGACTACCTTTCTATATTTTAGCCTTTAAGGACCTGTACTAATCAAAGTACACTTCCATTTTACTTTTAAATTAAGATTTTGACAAAAATTGCCCATAATACCTCTTTAATAAATCGAAAAATACGGCAATTGTGGCGTCTTCTTAAGTATAAGTGTTTAGTTGCTAACTAAACATTTAGTTGGTCAAGCTATTTATTTAGTTATCCTAACAATAAATGTATTGTGTTGAGTTTAACCTATATTAACCATAATTTTAGTTGGTTTATGTATTTTTCTAACTATATTACTTTCCGCGTGGGAGCATCAACAAGAAAAAAATCTATGACTCAATATTTTTCCATGAAGTGGAGAAAATGTTAGGTTCTTTATTAAACTGACGTCTAATATACATGTCGAAACATTTTATAGTAGGTATTTAACTAACCACACATGCGTACAATAAATCTAACATGAGTTTTTTAGAAGATTTTAAAATTATGATATTAACATATAGAACATTAGAGTTACTTAATACCACAACTTACAAGTTGAGCGTATTAGGGTCGAATATGCCTTCGCTATTAAATTAAAATTCAACTTTCTCCAAACCAGTGATTAAAATCAAACGGCGCCCAGTTAGGTTAGGCTGCCAGCTTTTATCAAAGCTAGATATATAAATATGTATGATGTATAATATATTTATTCCCATTTAATTAGATAATTTAAAATTGAAACATAAAAACTAAAGATCGGTTTTACTATAGGTCACATTCTGAATGCTATCACTTTTTAAAAAATAATTAATAACACAATATGTATTTACAATTTATCAGGTAGAAACTACGTTCTAATTCGTTTATCATCTCTCCTATTTAATGTGATTAAAATATCTGCGGCTCGGTACATGTAAGGCGGAGTGCAGAGTGGAGTGCAAACCACAAGTATGTCTTGGGCTTTGAACACATCTAAATAATAATATACAATTTTGGTGTCAATATAGGCATGCTAGTGAAGTTTGTTAAACTAATATTTAAAATCATCCTATCGTGTTATAGAGAAAACTATTAAGACTGTAAACATTGAGCATAATGCTTATCAACACTGATAAAACTATAAACATCAACTTTAAAAAAGAAATCGGTATCAAAGCAAAGTATTATTTATATAGTTATCAATTATTAATTATTATAATATGGAGTAATAAGATCAGTATAAAACTAATGTCTAATAAATAATGATACATCACATTGTACAATCGTAAACGTAAGCGTGTAAATGATAGGAAACATAAAAATTAATTAATTGCAAATTAATAATAAATGCGGACGACATACAGCAGTATAAAATATTTTCTCTTTTATTAACACTTCTTAGTTCTTACTAATAAATACCAATTATCAATTAATATCTGATAAATTATATCTATACATCGTCATTGGCTGATAATTGACAATATTGTTTGTTTCAATTAAAACCTATTACGTATACTCTTTATACACAAATAATAAATGTATACATCAAATCCCACTAATAAATAGTGATTTATGTTGCATTGAAATTATCACTACACAGTTTATTTAAACAATATAAAATAGTAGATCTTACTAAAAGTTAAATAGTTATTCTATCGAATATAATCTACGACTTGAGATTAAAAAAATATTGCCAATTTCGTGAAACGAATAGACTCAGTAAGAACATGTAAAGAAAAGCGTGAGGGTATGTTATTGATTACTTCGAATATACTCATGGCCGTGACGTTATAATGAAGGGCGCATTATTATATCGATTAAGCATTCTGCAACAGCTGGCGAATCAAGGCGCTTTGGGTAGGCAAACATATTGATTGATAAATTTGTTTCTTTGATATTATTATAAAAAAAGTGTATTCAATAATTATAAGACCTGAAAAACTTTAACAATGGGTAACCTAAAACTGAAAGAAACATTTTACAATACGTTCAATATTAATTTTTTTTTTAAATAGACGATAGTTGAATGTGAAACAATAATGATGAAAAGCTGTAAATGTCAGAAATATTTAAAAATTGCGAGTCTTGGTTTTAAGAAGTTATTATTATTCACTATTTGAAAGTATAAAAAGAACACTGTGCAACGAATAAGGTACGAACTTAAATTTAAAAAAAAAATACCAATATTTTTGCAATGAAAATTATAAAGATATATTTTAATTATTCTGTTAAGTCATAATTATTCCTATATTGACGCGTCGTAGACATCTATCTCAAACAGTTTAAGACGTATAATAAAATGTGAAACATGGATAACTGAATAACAATATTTAAGTGTAATTTTTTATTTCTACTTTCCATTAAACAAAATAGTCCGCTGTATCGATTTATATTCAAACACCAGATAATGTCTTTGAGTAGAGTCTATTTTTGTGAAACGACGTTAGGTTAAACACAATTAGACAATATTTTGTCCCGACGACTGACCCTTTTTTTAGTAGTTTTATAGACGGTACTCTGCAGTGTTTAATATTTACCAATATAGCCTGTATAAGTTTATCAAGTGAAAGTTAAACAAATAAAATAAGGGTTTGTTCGAGTAAGGGTCTTAAATAACTATGATAATAAAAAAATACAGCTTTATAATTGCAATGTACCAACTTAAACGTTTGCTTTTTCAACAATAAAGAATTACTATACGAATATATATAATCTACATGGTGTAATTTAAAAACTTAATTCTATTTTTTGTTGTCATAATCAAAAACCATAAAAATAATAATTTTTTTAATCCTGCAGTCTTTCCTTGTTACTCTATTAATCATACTAATTACTACCATAGTCTATACTACTTTTTATTTATGGCACACTAATTTAAGTTGTCCGTACATCTATTTAATTTTCCTTTCTTCTTTCAACATTTTAAACCATTTTAATTTTTAAATGTCATTTTAAAATAAATATAATTTATAACGTCATAAAAGTATATATACTATATTACGATTTGCTTTCACTACTTATTAAATATTGATTAATATTTATTATTAGATATGGTATCCTTTTTAGGTAATACCATAAAAAACAGTTTTGGTGTGTGTTTTATTTGCCAAACAAACAAAATGTATACTTAGGCACCACTGGATGATTGTACGTATACAATTTCTTAAAATATTAATTTGTTGTTGATGTGTCAAATTCGTTTTTGATTTAAATATTATATTAGCTTAAGTTAACCTGCTTAACGTACAATAAGAGTGCCAACACGGAATTTCAAAACTACTGCAGAACTTTCATTTGTGTTGAAATTGGCTTAATGCTTGTCTTTTCTTAATTAGGCCGAACGAATTAGGACGTTCAATAATCATGAACTTATTTTGATAGCAAAGATAAAATGTTAAAATATTAATCTCAACCTAAGTCGTAGTGGGTTCGAAGACAACGTAAATCCTTTCTACTTTCGATAAATTCGATCAAAAATAATTTGTTACTTTACCTTTTCGCCTAAATGCCGAGTACCGGGTCCCCTGACGTATATGGGAACGTCCATATCAGTAGTGGACGAGGCGAAGGATGTGTCATCGCGTTTTCTGGGCACCTGAAGCAACTTGACAGCTTGTGCCGCCAACTCTTTATTACCGTGAAATTGCAATGGGTGATCTTCCTCCACATATCCGATGCTATCTGGGGATCCATCTCTGTCGTCGTCGTCGTCATCATAATAAATCGGCCGCGGCATCGATTCCTGGGAAGTAACATTATTCTCATTAATAATAAATAAACTGATAAATTAATTACAATATTTTGTTTAACCTGGAACAGGTTATCTGGGAGAGAGCAATAAACTAGAGAAGAATGTTACGGTATTTTGAGATCAAAAGAGCATTTTAGTAATTCCCTAACCTAATATTATTTTTCAATAGATGACAAAGCTTTCGCAATACTTGAGATGGCCACCGTCATTTGTATAATGCAAATACTTATTATACCTATATATATTCATTTTAACAAAAAGAAAACATTGTTTTTGTATTTTTCTTTGGCCCGTCACGAATGGACGTTCTCTCCCAAGTAGCTCCGTCTGAGGCTTTTGTTTGTCTCATGTCTGACTCCTTTTTCGTCATCACTTCCTCGATGTACATTCGATTATTCTTTATTATTTCTTCGTTTAGAGATAACAATAATAACTGTGTTTGTATTTCCCACGCAGGATAGTCGAACAAGGTGTGTTCGGCGTTATCTTCAGGGTTAGAAGCAATAATGACTGTGATAATTTGGGTTAAGTGATATGTTAACCTTTCGTGTTTACGATTTGTCCATCTTCTAATGTCTGATATTAATTGATGAGCCCATCTACACTTAATGTTCTATGGCCGCTTGCATTGCCATCTGACTAGTAACTCCTCGCGTGCTATTTTTTTTATCTGCATTGAGTATATATATATATACTCGGTAACGTTCAGCGTGATGTACGTACAGATTTTCCGATTGACCCCCAGCTCAATAATATATCGAAAGCCTTAATATCCTACTTTTTTACTCTTAGAACCGAAAGCAGCCCTGGGACCAATCTGTAAGGTTCGAGGCCACCTACATCGCTAATAATTGTGAAAATAAAACATGAAATTGTCAATAATTAAAGTGGTTTAGAACAGCACAAGACAGCTCTTTTATATATTTTTTTTGTTTTCTTCGTTTGGTCTCCTTGCTTCTGCCTAGCGGAACCGACGCCACACAGTAAAAAAAATTTTAACCTCGACAAAAACAAATTTGATAATAATATATTATTATAATTCAATAGAATAATTTGTTTAAACTTATAAGTTTAAATTAACAAATTATTTATAACATACTAGCTGTGTTGTTATATAAAAGCACATGTTTATAAGTCGTCGAAAATCTTCAATTCAATTTTTTTTTTTTTGTATGTCATTTTTAATATACTTATTAAATATTTCATTGACAATCAATAGTGTAGGACTGTTGGGTATACATTTTATTTAACCCCTTCCCCTCAAAAAGGTAACAAGTTTTTCATTATTATACTTTTTGGTATCAAATAGTTTAATTATAACTTGGCTATTTATTGATATAATTATTATGGCAGAAGTTTCAACTTAAAATTTACATTCGAAAAATAAACTGACAATTTCTTACAAAAACCATTTAATATTTACTTATATTTTTATTACTTACTGTGTAAAAATAACTTTTTCTAACATTTACGTCTTACATCTTATTTGCTAGATTTATTTAAAAGTGAATTTTTAATTTTCGAACTTATTTCTAACTTTAAATAGTACTTTAACGCAGTAGCCACTGTTTTAGTATTTTTTATTTATTTAATAGTAAGACTGATAATATATACTTATGGTAGATTGCTAAATTTATCAGAGTAATCTTATGAAGGACATACAATACACAGACGAGTACAATTCTCAAATGACATGTATAAAGGAATAACTTGGTGAAATATGCATTATGGATTTGTTTGACATTGAATAACCTTCAATGTACTAAAGCGTCAATATGGAAAAATCTTAAAATAAATTAACCAAGTTTTATATTAGACAAAATAATGTCAAACGCGTTTTTATTTCATATATTTATATTATTACTCTGTACTCTGTAGTCTGTTGTATTATTATTGTAACTGTAAAATGATAACACTATCTACTTTCATCATTTCTAGTTTACGGTCATTTTAACACATGTATAAGACATAAGTGAGAAACGTTGATTGACCTTTGGCACAAACGCAAAACAACATTTTCAATTCAAAATGCGTTAATTTCGCTTACATTATACATTGAATATTGATGTTAGTATTTTGTATTAATTTTACAAAACAACAACAATTTATCTGAGCATACGTATGGTAACGATAATATTTTGTATGCTAGTAAGTAGCATTTAGCAAATTGTTCTATTATTGTTATTTGACTTTGGAAATGAAACAAATAGACGGTAATTATTCTCAAGTTAACATCATCGCAATCGGATCGGGTCAATTGATTTGTTTACAAAAGAAACGAAATTCGTGCAAAATACAGTATTTATTATCACTTAGGTTTTTTTTTTGCAAAATAAACTGTTTAAAAGGTAATTCGCCAATCTTGCAAGACACAGGTTAAAAATAAATAATTCGACCACGGATGAAATAAGCGTAGGTATGATTGACGTGTACAGTGTCGTTAGCTTAAAATGAATACTAAGTGTAAATAATTTAGTTCAGTTTTTAAACAAATTACTGTGAAAAACCACAAAAAAAATAGATAATATTATAATATGTTGATATTACGATTAATAAATATTAGCTGTTATATTATGTTCATATTATTATCTATCATATGAATAGCTCAGACTCTTTTTTTTTTACATCAGCTGTATTACAATAAACCAGTTCTTTGTTCTTTCCAAGCTTCATAATTATTGCCTGATTATTTCATTTATTCATTAATTCAATTAAAATAAATATTGGAACTACAAAAAAAAAAAATAAATAAATTAAAACTTGTTGCTTGGCATATCTATTGTATATCAGCATTTCTTTTTCTTCTACTAAAGGCTTGCAGGAGAGTTGCCATCCTGGAGAAGTGAATATTATCAATTAAGAAAATTAAAACAATCGGTATCGATTTCCATACAAGACTTGTTCCCGGTATTAAACTTCTCTACTTATAATATTTAAAATGTGTTCATGGTCCCCCTTAGTACATCCTTTTCTTTTGCCAAGTGCCAACTTATAGTTTTTTATATACAGCATAATTAGTCTTTGAACGCAGTACAAACGCACCTACTGGTGTAAACTACATTATGATTTTAAGCGTTGACATATGTTACACTTATCCGTTGGTCATAGATTAGGTCATTCGATTACAATATTTGATTTTTAACGAATTTTACTTACGGTTTTTGTTACTTCGTTTAGTCTTCGCGCGCAACGCTTTTAGATTTCTGATTTATACTACAAACGACTCCGACAAACACTATACATCATATTATTATAGTCATTGATATAATATTAGTATGGAGAGAGAGGTCTGATTGAAAAACAAATAAATACCGGACGCAAACTATTAAAAGGAAAATGGACAACCAATGATTATCGTCGGCGGCCACTGGTAAGATATGTATTGCGTAATACCGAAAAGATTTTTGGGAAAATAATGTACAAAAAATATCCACGAAATCTCGACCGAGACTGCTGGCAACTACAAGCCAAAGGGAACCATCACATGGCGGCGGCAGCGGCCAAGGGACAAAATTAGAGCAAAGAATATACTATAGGACGCAACCTCTCGAAGCCATACATTTATTTATACAGGGTACCGAAATAATATAACAAATGAGAAAAAACCACGCCATAAGACTACGTAGATGATCGTTCCATCGATCCGTTCAGAATTTGGTACAAATTAAGACATTGTTAAATTGTTTTTGGTACTAAAAAAAATAAACACCCAATCGTACCGTATTTTTATATAACTGATATACCAACATAAGCTTAATGATAAAATATATTGTGCAATAAGTTTAACAGCAGAGGCTTACAAAACAGTTTGTAGGCATTACTATTATATTTATACTACTATTATCATAATAAACAAATGTTGATTAAAAATATTATTTTAACCTCGAGTAACCTCACTTTATGAAACATAAAGTGATTTAATTATTAGTTCCTACTCGTAATTAAATACTAAAAGTTACTTATAAGATAGCATACTGCTTGTTTTTGTTTTAACACAATTAATGTATTAAATGACATATTTTAGCTTTTCCACATAAGAGGTGGAAGCTTTTAATTTATTCGTTTTTTTTTCTTGTGTAGTTTTAGGTCTTAAGATCTGAAAATTAGATTGGAATTTGGAGGTAGCTGGTGTAGTTGGGCTATAACATACACAATTTTCTAAAATATCTGTAATTAACTTTATCAAAGAAAAACCCAAAAAAGGGAACAATTACACTTTAACTGTAGTAAATTTCTAGGTTGAAAAATATTTTAATTATAGTGTTAATTACGATTTATGGGAAAGAATGGCAATATAACAAACATTATAGACTGGCGATCATCAACCCCAATAGCAACCTTTCTAATACTGTTCTAAAACACAATTTTGAGCACTTTATTGTCATTACAATGCTTTTATCGATGTTAAATATTCCTATCATTTACAGATTCAAATTTATTTGAAAGTTTCAGTTGTAATAAATCTTACAAACCTGTGGCCACCCAATCCAAGTATGCTCCATTTTCACTGTCCTGGCTTTAATAAAGTAAACGACCGGAATATTTTTCACTGATTCATACAACATTAGTTAGGAAATGAATTTTTGATTTATAACTCGACCATTACGAATTAATGCTTTACTACGCTAAAAGACACATATTTATTACGGTAACAATTTTGATAATTTGTAAATAGGCTGAGGTTTAGGGAGTAGGCCTACCGTTTATAAAACATAAATTTTAAAATTCCCACCCAATTTAACAGTCGAATTTCTTTAAATACATTTAAACATTCACTCTCTCTCTCTCTCTCTATTTATATTACACATATATATTACCAAGGTTATAATGATAAACAAAATTGTAAGATGAAAGTGTAGCGGTAATATGTGTTTGGTAATTAATAATGTCTCATGAAAATTAAAAAAAATTCACAGTTCTATTGTCACCAAATTTTCCTATTCTGACCCATTTTTAAACGTTTTCTAATAAATAAATTAAGACATATTATCCATAAATGTGGATTTTGGAACAGTTCCATGATCTTGTTCTAGTCATTATACTATTATAGAAATAACTATATGTAGGGGTTTACGGTCAATTTGAAACGTCTAATGCCTAACGTTACCTAATTCTTATACACAATTTGATTCTACAGAAACAAAAAAAATCAAATATAAAATTAGCCACAGATTCAATAGTAGTGTCTAGTGAAGAACTATTATTTTATAAAAGACCGGAATAATGTGTATAAAAAAATTACAATTTTTCTATTTGCGCTATACTATTGCGCAATTGTTTTACCTTTAAATTGGCAAGTGCCTATACGTTATATTCTCTCCATCACAAAAATGATAATGACTTGAGAGCCACCGACTAAGACGTGTGATAAAGAGGATGTAGTATTTTTAGTCACCTTGTCTTTACCGTGATCTTACGGTCAATCTGAATATATATATATTTTCTTTTTGGCCACTATACCGACTACCTAATCTATTTTTAAAATCCTACTCAAGTCGTGCATTACGCATAGTCGTAAAACTGTCGTTTTTATTTTGTTTTGTTACATATATAATTTTGATTGGAGTATTTTTGCGCACATTTTTAAGGGGATTAAAATTGGACGGATGTTCAAGTTTTATACAGGCAATATTTATTAATAAGTGGTTTTTTAAAGTTCGACCATTCGAATACAAATTTAGGTTTATTAGTATAAGCTTCAAGATACCTATTATTTTTTACTTTTACAATTGTTTCTAAGTAAAAGCCATTTTTGTAGTAAAAAATATGCTTTCCCTGTGACAAAATTGTAAAACTTTTGCTGGTCGAATTTCAATTCTGTAAAAAGATGAGAATTTGTTTACCTTTTTACTGTGTTATGTGAAAAAACAAGTTCATTAAAATATTTAGTTTTCTTTTGTAATTTAACAAATTGTTTAATATTTAACGCAAAAAACAAAAAATCCAACATAATCTAGTAATGAAATCGAACCATCTTAAGTAGTCAAAATGATGTCGGGCTTTTGGCCTCAAACGGCCAAAAAACAGACTGCTTTCAATTCCCTTAAAATTCACATATTTTATATTGCTAAGATTATTGTAATTGTTTCTATACCTGCAAGTGCCATAAAACGAACATTTGGTACATATTTGGGGATGCAGGCAAAAGTTTGGCCGACCGGTGTCCAGTGGATGTCGGACGATAGTTGCGATTGTCAGCAGTAACAGTACCGAGGGTGCACAACCGTGGCGAGGAAAGGCGTCTCGAACCGGTAAGGGGGTGGGTATAGCCGAAAGAGAGCACTGCGTGTAGTGATGGGGCTACCGAGTTTTAACTAGGCCTCCTACAGAAGTTGTAACTTCGGGATCACGTCAAGGTTAACAATGTGAGATTTATTATAGGTTATTTGGTTTAATTAATAATAAAAATCCAACTAATATTCCAACTCTTATAATGAACGACTATAGTAATCACAGTAACACGATAAAACATAAAACATATAATAAAATACTATAAAAATCGTAATTCATATTATTATCATTATAATTTTTTTTTTTATGCCGTGTCATTATATGAATTGTAAATATAAGTTTGGGATTACTATTATTACTATTAACTAAATCAAATAACCTATAATAAAATCCATACATATTAACGATCTGTTTTTAATAAGAGCACTAGACTATAATTAAATTTAATTTTACAGAATAATATTATGTTTACTTAATATTGTAACACCAACCCAAAAAGAAACATGATATATTATTAAAAGTAATGATGGCAACAAAAATTAACTTGATAATCAGATTAATAACTTATAAGACTGCTATAATATATCTAGTCCATAATGTAATATTAACCTCAGACCCAAAAGAAATATTGCTAAACCTATAATTAGGTATAATTGTGAATAATATTTGTAGTTGATAAATTTTAAAAATATTATTAAAATTATCGGAGGATGTTGTTATAATAATTGTGAGATAATAGTTGTTTATTTTCATGTACACTATAGTATAAATAATTATCATAATACTATAATTAGTTTTTTAGTCATGTTTACCTACACTAGAATGACATGCAAGCAGGGCCAGCTAAGGTGATACAAATTGCGAGGCCCTAATTTTCCTAGATAATTTTAGATTTTATTACATTCAAGTGTACTAAAAATTTATTTACAAAACAATAGTTTCTATAGGTTTTTTTTAGTTAGATTAGATTTATTAATTTATATAGTTATTTATTTTACTATCTAGTTTTGTACTTTTCATAGTTTTATCAACGTATGAAATATGAATGGTACATAAGCATACAAAATTTCCCACGAGACCTCTGTAATATTTCCTAGAAAATTAAAATTTTGAAAATCGTTTCTTTAACCATAGACCTTATACCAACTACTAGACAGAGCATCCGGGTAGAATGCGGGCGGGTGGTGTGTGTACCAATCTTTGGGGAATCTGAAGACGACTCAATAAATATTTTTGTAAAGATATGTATAACATACAATCAATTTATAATAAGACTTCATAAAAAAAGTACTCACAAATGGAATTTTCTTCCAATGTTACAATTAAATACTGCATTACAAACCAAACAATTTTTTTTACCCATTTAAAAAAATTGTATGCATACAAAAGTAAAATAACAAGTTAAATTTTGAACAACCCAAAAATATCGGTCGACTCAAAATTTGATTTTATCGGTATTGAAAGTCACAAACCGCGACATCATACAATCATTTTTAAACCGTGCACCAGATATGTTAAACAGCAAACTCAAATGCGCATGAGTAGATCGCCTCATGACGTCATCGAGTGCCACTCCATCAGCGCAACACGTTGGCTCGCTAGAACTACATGCATACTTCGTCTAGTAATGTAAGGTCTATGCTATACAGTATTTTATTTTTTGAATTATAAAAAAACCACACTTATACCCTATTTTTTTTTAGTATAAGCCCACTACAGCAGGAACTTTGCATCGCACAATGTGTGCTTGCTGTCCTGTCATGCTAGCTGCTATCTAGTGACTTTCTATTTGTAGATAAAATTTTTTTTTTTTTTCAAAAGAGAGGTCTTAAGAGCATTCCCCCCTCTTACAGTAGTATTAATAAAAAGTGTTCCAATACATAATATGTATGATTCAATGATGTCATATTAATATTTATCTTACTTAAAAACAGGATTATCAATGAATAAAATATTAAAATTTTGAATGTTTTTTATAAAGTCATTTTATATTTATAAATTGTATTATTTACATAAACATAATTATTTTAACAATCTTAACAATTTACACTAACACAGGCCCTCGTTCTCTTAACTGTTCTTTAAGGTCATTTATTGACCTATTATCTATAGACTCACTATTTAACTCCGCATTAACATCTAAAACTTCACGAATAATTGTTTTAACATATTCAATATCTTGAGGTTCATTTTTGGCAGAAATTGGTAAGATTTTATCAAACTTGATTGCTTTTTTTGGTCTAATTTCATCGGGATATGAAGAAATTGCATCTGACAGATGATAAAATAGTTTAAATGGTACAATTGATAATATTAAAAATAATTATTTACTAACCTTCTAAATTTTCTAAGTTCTCTTTAATTTCTAAATATTTATCCTTAGCACCTTCAGTATCCATTTTATTAACAAGTAACAGGGCAGGTTTATCCAAAAGCTGTTCTTTATATAATTCAAGTTCCTAATAACGAAAATTCTATAAAATCAAATTTACAACAATTAGACAATAAAAAAAGTATAACAAACCTTGTTAAGTAAAACTACAGTATCTAAGCAAGATCGAAACTTTTTAAGGGGATTTAATTGAAATCCATCAATATCCACAACTAACAGTAGTAATTTGGTTCGTTCGACATGCCTTAAAAATTTGTGACCCATCCCGATGTTACAATGAGCACCTTCAATAAGTCCTGGTAAATCAGCCATAGATATCTGCCGTAGATCTTTATAAGACATAATACCTATGTTTGGTCTAAGAGTTGTAACTATACAATTAACATAAATAATAATATTGTTAAATATAAACAAAAAATGAGGAGCCAGTTTGGTTGTATAATTATACTTACATGGGTAGGAAGCAATTTTTGGTTTGGCATTAGAAATGGCATTTAGCAAAGTGGATTTGCCGGCGTTGGGGAAACCAACAAGCCCAATATCGGCTATTAGTTTTAATTCTAGTTTGATAGATCGACTTTCTCCTTTTTGACCACAGTAGCCATTTGTTTTACAACCACCTTGTCCACCTTTAGCCACAATCAACTCTGACTCGTCTTCATTCAAGTCACCTAAACAATCCAATGACGATTATAAATAAACTAATAAAACATAATTGTTGTATCTTTTACCAATTAAATTATTTTTATCATCATACACAGTAATGCCAGTTGGTACATTGACTTTTTTGTCCTCGCCAACCAAACCTAGTATTCGTCTGGAATGACTGTTACCACCCGTTTCAGCTCGCAATTGCTTATGCGGGTATTTAGTTAAAAATTCGATTAGTGTCATACCTACATAATCAACATTTGTTTTTAAGTAAAAATAGTAGACATTAAACAAGTACATCGATACTAACCTCCAGTAGCGACTAAACAAATATCACCTCCTTTGCCGCCCAAACCACCATACTTAGGGTAACCAAATCCGCCTGTACCTCCTTTAACGTGAATCCGCAATGAATCCAAAAACTTAGAATTACGTTTTAAATAATTTCGCAGGGGCTGTAAAAAATAATAACAATTATTACCCAGTAACCATCTTCTATATATAGGAATCTACTTACTTTACCATTCTTTTTCAATGAACTATTGTAACGTAAAGGAAAAGGCGTACATTGCAATGAAATCGATTTTAAAATACAATTCATCCTGAATTATATAATTGATACTTTAATATAAGTAAATAAACATATTATTTTAACCGGTGCAACATGCAAACTACGTTGCGGTAATGAAAAAAAAATGTTTAATCCTTTATCCTCGGATTCCAGCCTCTAACATTTATTTACGAGTGTGGTTTTCGAGTAATCAATTTTTTGATAACAGTAGTGTGCTACACGTGACTGCCGGTGAGTGATAAGCCGAATTGGCTGATAACTAAGAGGTAAAAACAAAAATATTTCATTTAATAGCGATTATTACTAGGTATATTATTATTATATTATACTTAAAGGGAGAATGGAGGATAAAATTGTATAGTCTAATAAATAATTTAGCAATCTGGTTATTGCTTTTAGGATGTATAAACCGTCTAATGATGAATGTCCGTCGATTCTTGGGTCCATCGCATTTTATATTTAATACAAATGTGCGGTACAGTCATAAAACATGCAGAATTATGGGCATCGAAACTAGTTGTGATGATACAGGTTGTGCGATTGTTGACAGTCATAGAAATATAGTGTCCGAATTTCTTCATTCGCAACAGGAAACGCACATAAAGTAAGTAATGGTCATGAAAAATGAATGTAGTGTAAATATAACATAGTAATCAATTTATCCTTTCAGCTTTGGAGGTATTATACCACCGATAGCGAGAAACTTGCACAAAGAACATATTGAACGCGTTGTAACTGAGACATTAAAACAGTCTCATTTCACTTTACAAGATGTGGATGCTATTGCTGTTACAATCAAACCAGGTCTATCACTGTCACTTTTAGTAGGCATGAACTATGCCAAACATTTGTGTAGGATATCATCAAAACCATTGATACCTATTCATCATATGGAAGCTCATGCATTAACAGCAAGATTAACTGACGAAGTATAATAATTAAAAATTATTCATAGTTTTTAAGGTGCCCCCGTACTTTTTTTTGTTCAAAAATATGCCTTACGTGAAAAGTAATCACGCCTTGTACAGTTGTCGGATTTTCCTAATTAGTAGATAATTTTTTTTGAAAGATGTGTAGTCTTTGTTTTTCATGAAAAAATCTGGTTACTCCTCGAGGTGTCATCACTTTTCCCATAAAGTCATTATTCACTACCTAAATAACTTTAACTGTAAAACAAATTATACTATTCAGGTAATAATATAAATAAAGCTATAAATTAGATGACATAATCAAAATTAAAAAAAGTGCCTATAGTTTACGCCTTTTGGCACCCTTTATATAAATAATTTAATATCAATATTTTTTTTTTAGAACTTACAGATGCCATTTTTAGTTTTACTGATATCTGGTGGACATTGTCTCTTGGCAGTTGTAAAAAATGTAGATACATTTTTATTGTTAGGTCAATCTGTTGACGATGCTCCAGGTGAAGCTTTAGATAAGGTATTGCTGTACTTCATTGTTTTAATATTTAAAATAATAGTTTTCTTTTTCTAGGCAGCCAGGCGTCTACAATTGAAAAATTTCAAAGAATTTAGACACTGTAGTGGGGGTCAAGCAATCGAAAGAGCAGCTACTAAAGGTGATGCTAAAGCTATTGACTTGGGTACATTTATGACTGGTTACAAAGATTGTAATTTCAGTTTTTCTGGCCTTAAGAATACTATAAGAACTCAAATTCTAAAATTTGAAAAGAAACATGGTAAATTTGATAATTACAAATGTGTACCAATAGTATTGATTAAACAAATTATCAATTAACAGACATAAAAGGAGATGAAATAATTCCTGAAGTATATGATTTGTGTGCTAGTATTCAATATTCTATTACCAAACACATTTGTACGAGGGTGCAAAGAGCCATGGAGTTTATTGACCGTACAAATATGATACCAAAAAACAACAGGACATTGGTTTGTAAATCTTAGCATTTTTATATGTGTAAATATTGGTTATTATGTTTCGCGACATTCAAAGGACTCCAAACAAATGAATAGGACCAGTCCACACTCATTGGACATGAGCTTATAAATGTTAATTAAAAATAAGTGAAAGTGGCGTAGTGAGTTTGTTGTTCCCGATAACATGTTGTTTCAAAATTTGTTATATCAAGTAAATATAATTATATTCTCAGATAGAAATTTGCGAGTCCTTAAAAAACCAATCGTTTTAACCAGTATTTGATTTTAATCAGTTTTGTTGTACATCAACAACAATTGTACATGCATATAATTTACTCATTAAAATTTTTAGGTAATATCTGGAGGTGTAGCAAGCAATATGTTTATTCGGAAATATTTAAATGCTTTGTGCGATGACATGGCATATAATTTATCAGTACCGCCACCAGCCCTTTGCACTGACAATGGAGTAATGATAGCTTGGAACGGAATCGAAAAATTTTCCAAACACCTTGATATCTTTAGCCATGACAACTTGGATAAAATTGATATCCTGCCAAAGTAAATAGTTATTAAATTTTATTGATTTGCTACTCAGCATTAATTTGCTGAAATAGTTGACAAAGATAAAAATTATTTTTATTGAAAGTTATGCAATAATTTTTAACTATAATACATAATAAAATAAACATTTTTAGAGCTCCATTAGGAAAGGACATATCACAAGAAGTTTCAGATATGAACATTAGATGTCCATCAGGGTTTTTCAACAAATTATACAACAGTAATAAATAATAATAAATATAATATATAGATTTTTATTAGTTTTTATTCCAATAAAATTTTATTACAAAACAATAAAATTGATAAACAGTTAATAATATGTAAAAATATATTAAATAATATAAACACCATGGTATACCATTAAATTAATTAACTAATGAGGCACATTAATGTTTTTCATTTCGAGAATTTTACCATTACTCCAAGCATAAAAGAATATCTCTGAAAGGATTTTTGGATTTGGCTGAAGACTGAAATGATTCTTTGTACAATTTTTTTTGGTTTTCATTTGATAACTATAAAAAAAGTCATACAAAATTATGTTTATGTAACATAAATAAGTTTAAACTCTCTTACATTACTATAAAAGTTCAACGCTGCTATACACAGTAGTTTCCTGTCTTCATATTCGTAACGTCCAAGTCGTAGTCGCACGTGAGGAAATCTAGAAAAAGAAAAGACAAATAAAACATTATAGTTATTAAATTAATTTAAAAATAAATACATTGCTCTTAGCCATTGATTAGTAGAAGAGCTTATGAAGAAACAAATCAAGCAATAGATCGCCATAGGAATTTGAAGTCCCTGAGTAAAATTACTAAGTGAAGTAATGACCCAATCTTGTAATAAATCCAATTGAGATCCCTCAATAAGCTGTTCAAATATCTATAATTAAATGATACCGTAACACAAACATTAGTAATATTTTTTTAAGCTGATTATTCAATATAAATCAAAATTATTATTACTTAAAATCCTAATACAGACCTCATTTACTACAATACACATATGAGTTGGATGAGGTTGATTGGGCGATAGAAATTCGCCAACAACTCTCATCAATACATATGACGCTGGAAAAATATCAGTTAATACTTTAGACATGATAACCGTAGTGATCTCTACTTCCAGCAAACAACCTTTTTTGATCCTACACAATAAAATTATGTTAAATTATTAAATTTATTTACCTTTTAACAACAAACCTTTCAAACAGCATGCTGACTTTTTCCATTTCTGCAACTATAATGTCTGGGTCAATATCGTCTTGCATGTTTTCAACATAATGTTCTGAAAACAAAAACAAACGCAAGATATAAATACTAAAACATTTAATATTTATAGTAAGTGTCATCAAACCTGCATAAATGCATGACAAAAGTAATTGTAGTGCTGGCAAGGAAAATCCAGGTGGAGCGTTTGACAGTCTGTCCAAAGCTAATGTTGTTATTTGCTCAATAATATTTTGATTTGAATGTTTTGTATAAACAATACGTTGAAATCCCTAAATCATATTATTTTTGAATAATTATTTAACTAATGTAATAAGGAAATTACAAACCTGTATAAGAGCTTGATAAAGATTAAAGTTCCTAGAAGACGATACAACTTTTGTCAGTCCTTCAAGTGAAACAAGTATTGAATCATCCATGCTATCTAAACCATGTTCAACCACGTAGAAGGCAATTGATATTAGACAAAGTTGCCACTCGCACTCATATCTTCAATAAAACATTTGAATTGTATGTTTAATATTTAAAAAAAAAAATACAACTTGAGAATTACATACAGCATTGAGTATTCTGTGCACAAGTGTTTTTGTACGAAGTCTACAGCCATTTGAACAATATCTGAACCATTGGGTAGATTTTCATCAGTAAAACAACCTTCTAACAAATAGAGGAGACCATGTAAAGCCGCCAACTGGGTTAAACGACAGTTTGATTTCAGTCCAGTGTCTATTAGTTTTAGAACTTTCTCTCTGATACTTAAATCCTAAGTTTAAAATTGATATTAACTTTATTTAAATAAACTTATATTATTATTAATACATATATATTATATCAGTCGGGTAAATTTTATTTCACACAATTTATGAAATTTTAATTTAAAACACCTATTTTAATAAATAACACCTATTTATATTACCGTTTCAGGGTTGTCCAAGTAAAATAATAATGGTTTTGTCTTTGAACAATAGTATTGTACAAAGTTAGAAAAACAAAGTAATGTATTATTTACAACAGTGCGCCTGCTGGAAGGTTAAACTATAGTAAAATACTTTAACTCAAAAAAGTTTAGTAAAAACCTATTTTTATTAATAAGGCAAACCTATCTTACAAAATAATTGTGTATCATTTAGTATCTTTTTTGTTGCCTCACTTTATTACCTCAACTTTAGAAACTGCCAATGCTTTAGCTGCAGCAATAATAACGTATTGGTGCAAAATCAAATCTTCATGATGATGTATATTAGATAAGTTCAAACACGCATTAAGCATCCAAATGTAATGTTCTCTTTCAGTAAATAAGTCCGATACCACAAGCAGACATTTTATCATTTCATTTGTTTGAGATAAAGATCCACGCGTCTGTCATTAAATAATCAATGATTATATAATATTATAGTATAATGACAGATAATTCACTTACTTTTGGTTCTAACCATTGATTAAAAACATCTTTTAAGAGTGATGTACAGGATGTAAGGTCTAAGCCACTTTCTTTTAAAATATTGGTCCGCTCAAACAATTGTTTATTGGAATCTATACAAAAAGTGATAAACAATGTAATAAGTTGATGTATAAATAAAATCAAGTTAATAAGTAGTGTACAAACTTGAATGCTTAGGACTCGAACACCTATAAGACGATTTCCATTCATCTGATATAGCAGTTTGTAAAAATTTTACAGATAGTTGATGATAACTATACCTAATAAAAAAAAATATATATATAAACTAATAAAATAAAAAAAGTCAACCTACAAAATTATTTTGACAAACCTATGCTGATTGTGAATTCTTTCTATGTTGGCTCTTTGTTCTAAGCGATCCAATAAACATTCTTTACTTGCTGTACGTCTAAACTTACCGAATGTAGCATAAATCAATTCGTTGACTTCTTCTAGTTTTATAAACCACCTAATTTTAAAAACCATCAATAATAATATGTTAAGATTAATCTCGGTAATTAAAACAGAAAATGTAAATAAAAATGTACTTGTGTTTGGATAAATTGAGAGGAGAGTCTCTTGACACATGTAGAAACGTGTTTTTAGTAGTATCCCCTGGATAATGTTTGAATAATGTCTGGCTAAACAACTGAGTAATTCCATTTACAGCCTCACTACTCGCCTAAGGAGAAATTCAGTATTAAAAAACTACCCTAACTGAGAATAGCGTACCCATATGTAATATTATACACTAAACGCTAACCTGTATTCGAGATATTTGCTCTTCTTTGGGTATGTCGGTTTCGTTGGACGGAACCAGTACACTTAGTAATGTCATCCATGTTTCTTCAAACTGCTGTTTGCTGTTCCAACCTACTACGCTCAGTCTGGATACAAACTGCTTAAGCACGTCTATTTCTTGCAACACATCAATAGGTAACGGTGGTATAACAAAATCATCACCACTGGATTTAGGCTGTAACATATTCCATGCTTCAGGAGGTACCCGCACATAGCCGTTCACCAATGGATGACGACTGATAATTTGTATAATGGAACTACAACAAAGATAAGTAGATCAAGACTAAATTGTCTATCTCAATATTAGTTGATATTATAATTACCATGTAATTTGATTCAAATAAAACTTTGATACTGCGGAATGGGACGTTTCTACCCAAGTGATCAACGATGAAATTTGCCGACACGTCGGAATTAGCTCTGATGTTTTTGTCGTATAATCTATGTAAACAATTTGTTATAAACATATCAGTAAAATAATAATTCTTCATACTTACAATTATCAGATACTAATGGTAGCACATCTTCAGAAATAAACTCGACTACAGATACTAATGTTGAAGCCATTGATCCTAATTCTGTCGAACATAAGTCATTGGCCAAGTCACAAACATCAAATACACAGTAAGCGCATTTTAAGAGCAACTGTATCATACTAGTTGCAGCATTTTTTTTGGATAATTTCCATTTTAATAACTAAAATAAACAATTATTAAAAACCATATTATTTAAATATATATTTTGTAATACAAACTCACTTCAACCATAAATATAGTAAATTTTAAAAGTGTCTTGTTTGAGTCCATTAATATTATGTGTTTTTTGTTTTTGTACTTAGATAAACATTTTACACATTCCAAAAATTGTGTTACCGCTGGTATAATTTGCAATGCGCTTTTGACCAATTCTTTGTCTTCAAACAGTTCACACATGCGTGTTTTGTAAGAACTTTGTTTTTCAGTTAATTTTTTGTTTAGTGGCAGAAAGACCTACGAAAACCACAAAAGAATTATGTTGAATAACTAATCCAGACTGTTAGAGTGTTAAAACTACTAACTTGATGGAATCTAGGTAAATAGCTACAAGCTAACTGAATATGCTGCACTAGTACAAATCGTGTGGCTACAAATAACGGACATAACTCTAAGATAGTTGCGTCTTCAGATAATGTTTTCCAATTCTAAAAAATAATATACATTTAAGTTTTATTCATTGCATTTATTAGAGTATTAGATAGCAAAAAACATACTTCAATCGTAATAAATGTTGATACGACGAAACAGTGTTGTAGAATATCAAGATTGAAGCCATCTGCCCTCATAATAAAAACAGAGTCCTGCAATGGTAAATTAGATAACAGTTTAGCCGACTCGAAGCTGGGGCAGTCATTTCGACAGCATCTAAATTATATAAAAAAAAATTTTTAATTTTAATTCTATAATTATAAATTAGGAAAAGGACACGTAATTGTTAAAAATGTATATTTATGAAATGTTAAAATTACCTAATTTTAACTTGTTCTAAAAACCAGCTTTTGTCGATCACAATATTTTTTATTTCATTTATACTGACTGTTTTATTTTGGTCAATTTCTACGCTCGTATAACCATAACATTGGGTACCGAATTTGTTAAACAATGATATAAGTATACAATAACGACTATATAAACAAAAATAAAAATATATACATTAAGACGCTCATCTTATTTTAACACATTGATTTATAGCAATTTCCCATAGCCTACTTACTTCCTAATACACACATTAAATTTATTAAAGTACTCGAGGATATGTTTGGTCTCGTCGCTACTCAACTGAGAAGAGCTCTCGCTGACAGGTAATGTAAGGAGATACTCCATTTTTCTATGAAAATTAATGATATAACAAATATTTAATATAATATTATTAACATAACTAAACACTTTAAAAATAATTTTTTTTTAACACGACCCAGAATTAAAATTAACATTTTATCAATACCTAATAGCAATAGAACTAGCAAACTGTGACAAAGCCAAATGTGGATCTTCTAACACTGAAGGCAAAATCATTTTTATTACTTCTCCACAATGAGCCGGGTGGGCTTCATTCATACTTCTCAAGAGCTCATTCGTTAAATTCACCTAAAATAATTTAAAATGATTATCGAAACAAAAATATTGAACTTAATTAATATTACATTTTTTATTAAGATTACCTTTTCTTCAATACATTTTTCTTTCATGGCCATTAAATGTAAAAGACTTAGATCAGGATCTTTGTTAACACAGTTAAGGAGTTCTTGGGTAGACGTTTCATTTCCCAGTTCCAATAGTTGGATAACACAATCAGATAAAAACCACTTTAATAACTCGTTATCAAGACTGACTTTTTTGCTCTAAAAAAAAAAAAACCAATTATATTTATTAAAAGTTATAAAACTACTTATATAAACAAGTAACTTACTAATATTTCACATAAAATCAAAAAGCAACCTTTTTGAACAATGCTTAAATAGAAACAACATCTTAACCTAAACACATATAATTATTAATATTTAAGGTAATAATAATTAATATAAAATTAATCATAAGAAATAAATAATAATTACTGATTTTTAGAAGTATTTATGCATAATAATGATTTCCAAAAGTCGATATTATCATAATCTAAAATACCAATAAATTGTACCCAATGCATAACGAGTAACGGATAAGTCATTGATAAAGTCAAAATGTTCTCATGAAGCATATTAAACACGGGATCAGCGAGTAAATTTTGTAGAGCTTTTACAATTTTTGGAAAAGTACCTAGGACAAAAAGTTTGTTAAAAATGATTTGGAAATATATAAAACAAATTTTCATTTACCAGATTGTACAATATATTGACAGGTCAGTAAGAATTCCGACAACAGACATACTTTACTTTCACTGTTGTCTTGAGGCTGACCATAAAAAATCTTAATGTCATTAACAGTTAAGTATATAACTCTGAACAAGAATCTACAAAATATAATATAGTATGACATATAAATGCCAATAAAAACCTAACAATCGTATATTTTACTTAGAAAATGTTTGCTCTCCCGGAAGGTTCTTTTTGTTTAATAGAGAAGCATTTAATGGATCTGACTGTGTGGTGAGTTCAAATAAATTAGAACTTATAGAAATATCGGACTCAGAAATTTTCAATAAAATTACATCTTCAGATCTTTGAACAAGAATTATTAATAAGTTTGAGAGCACAGTTTTCAACCAAGGTTCTAAGGTGCATTTCTGGAAAACCACAACTGTTAACTAGTCATCATGGATACTTTAATAATAATAAAAGAAATTAAAATATTACATACTTCAACATCGTAACACGTGTTAAACATAACATAAAGTTGCTGTTGAAGGCTATAAGAAGATGGATGTAAAGTTAATAATAGATTAATTAGTGATGATAAAGATGCCTGGATTTTACATCCGCCAAGAGAAGTATAAAGAGTGTCGAATAGCTGTCTAGATTGTTTTCTCCACTTTTCTTCACTTCCTTCCATTATAACCAAGCTAAGAATACTGATAACCTGCACATTATAAAATATATTAGAAAATAGTAACACCAACTTTTTGTAGTGCCATCATCAATAAGGAAAATGTTTACACCGGCTTACTTTGTTAAATTGACACAACCTTAATAACATGGCGAACAACATTTCTCTTTGTGCTTCAAGTTCTTTTAAATCAGATGAGTTCACCAAAAATGCTGATTTTAATACATATACGTTTTCTACAATCGGTAAAATTGCTGGAATACCTATAAAATGTACATCGACTGTTGTAGTATTCTTTTAAAAATACAATGTAGTGGTTGAGAAAGTTTTAAAAATATAATTAGATACTAACAATATAAGTCAGGTGGATATCCACTTGCCATTAGTCCATCACACAGGCGTATAGCTTCAGAAATTAAATTATTATTTGACTTGTTTTTATCTGCAGATAAACTTATAAACAGATGAAATATTTTTCTTATTAACTCTTCTGGATTTCTATAAAGCACATTAACAAACACAACATTATTGATAAACATTTACGAAACAAACATAATAAATCAAATTTATATCATTTAAACTTTTACCTAAAGAGACCATTTTCTAGATAATCAAATTGACTAAAAATAAAATTTAAAAATTCTTGTTTCGGATCAATTATGTTGAAGTTGATTTTACATTGAGTCATTACTATTAGCAGTTCTAATATGTTGGACTGCACTTGCACATCTCCAGTAACTACGTACTCCTAAAGTATTTTATTTTATATCAGTTAATTTAATTGTTATTTTTATTAATGTTAAGTTCAATACCTTCAACAGTTTTATTATTAATGGACGAAAACATTTGAGGTTTGTTGAGAAATCAATACTTTCAGAGTTAGGAGTAAATAGTTTTCCACCAATTGAAGTCGTACGAACTCTTTCATCTTCCCAGCGTTTATTTGCATACTGGAACGTTTTAATTTTGGAATCTATAAAACTACAAACATACTCATAGGGGATTTCTAATGCCTGTGTATACAGACAAGGTAAAATCATGTTGCTTTTATTGAATGTAAGATCTCTTTTAGTGTATTGTTGAAGACTTTTTGCTGTATTATTCTTTGATATTAAGCACTTGAGTAACTGAAATTCAAAAGTTTTGTTTTAAAAATGTTAATAATTGAAATAATTTTTTTTTAATCTATACCTCGGCTAAGACTTGAGAACTATAATTAGGTGCTAAATTGGTGACAGCAGTAACACATAGGGTTATACGCTCAACGTGCTGGTTACATTCTGTTGTAGCGATAAATTGAAGCAGTATCTTTAAAGCATGGAGAACCGCCTCGAGAAACTTAATAAATTTTTCATTACTTGTATTTTCAAGAGATAACTAAAAAATACAAAAATAAAATGTTATCAATCAATAAGTTGGTGAAGATTAAGCTAGTCACCTTGTAATTGTTGTATGAAGCCTTAGTTATGGACTGTAATTTGTAGTAATAGTTACTACGTGAAGGTAACCCACGAGAACCATTTTTTTCTTTTTTATTTTCTTCTACAAAATAAGAAAAACTGTTTAACATTTTGAAACAATATTAAATACAAAACGCACATTTCTTTTGTGCTTTATATTTTTAATTATTTTTTGTGTATTCCATTAAAAACTTTAAACCAAACCAAAATATTAAAGACATATTATAGTTAGTTATGGAACACAATGGTGTAAATGATAATTTATAACTAGGGTTTTTTGAAAAAAAAAAGTTATCGTAAACGATAATTATTTTACATTTAAATTTTTTAAGCTAAAATGGTTTTGAACTTCATTTTTAAATTATTGAGAATTTTGTACAGTATATTATAATAAGAAAACTATGTTTTGAAATATAATGTCAATATTTTATTTTTGTTACATTATCAGTTCTAGAAATAGACTAATCAATTATTTTAACTAAATTACCAGATTTTTGTACTGAAATCGGTGTATGAGTAGGTTCTCTGTAATCTAATATCACATTTCGTAGCATATTTAAAAGTTTTAGGACATGTGTCCATAATTCGTTGAATTGCTTCTTTAGCTGAAATAAAAATAGATGGTAAAACTAAATAAAGAACTCATATTTTATTTTTATCATAAATAATAACATACTTTTTCATCTTCAAACCAACAATTATATTTGCCAAATTCGATCTTATGATCCTTTAAACTTTGCAGTGAATTAGCTAGTTCTAAAAGTAATATTTTTTAAACAAATACTCTAGAAATTTGGTAAAATTATGTATATTAGATTATTACCAGTAACCAAATTGGAAGATAATTTTAACATCCAACAATGCATTTCCAAGTCAAATGCAGCAGTTGATGATGTCATGGTTGAAAGTACTGAAGTAAATAAAGCAGAACATGGACTGGAAAAATAAATTACACAATTTTTAAAAAGTCTAAGTATCTATATATACATAAAAATGATTATCTGTACCAACCTAGACGAATTATGATTAAATCCTTTGGTAGTAACTACACATTTCCAAGCATTTGGATATGCTGGAGACTTGTATGTGTCAGATAGTAATGTTAGTGCCTCAATACATCCAGCCTGCAATTTACACAATTACACACAATTTAAAAACAAATTTTAAAAATGTTATGTTATATTCAACTCACAATTCCAAATACCGAATGGTTTTTTATAAGATCATTAGTCAAACGATTGATTAGACGCGTTAATGAGGCCTCGCCATACAAGTCATAAAATACATCTAAAAAAATAATACTGTTAAAAATATAATATGCAATTATTTTTTGTAATTTCTCATACTACTTTGAAGCTGAAGAAAATTTGAATAATACAAATTAGCATGAGTGCACACCCACGATGTAATAACATCTTGTTGTTTATAGTCAATTTTATAGTAACAGTTCCGAACAACACTATTAAATATAAATTGTTGCTTAATAATTAGTAATATTATAAATTAACATAACAAAGCAACAATTATATTATTATTTGTATTTATTTTGTCCATACCTTAATAAACATTTAGCTGCTGCTTGTCTAACGCTATGTTCATTATCATACAAAAATTTTAATATTATTCTGTCTAAAATACGATCCTGATACGTTGAACTATTTGTTACATAGTACACTGTCATAAATGATAGATTTTCAATTATTTCTAGCAGTTTAACCTGCAAGTTAAATTTTAGTTAGATAATAAAACCTTACACTAAACAGATTCATAAGTAAACAATTAAACCAGAATTGAGAAAGTTGAAATACCTTGACAAGCCAATAAGAACTTATATCTGATAGAATAGTTTCAAATAAAGGAATCGTACAATTGGAAGCTTCGCTATTTAAAAGGGGCATTAGACAAACTGACACAGCTGATAGAGAATGACATACACACATATAGGATTCATCTCTTAAGCCCTGAAAAAGTGTATTTTAACATTACAAAAAATTAACTAATTTGCAATATCAATTTTACCTGCACTATGATATAAATTAAATCACCGATCTCTACATTAGGTGTATCTGAATATTTCGGCAATGTAAATTCACCGGTATTTTTCCTGAGAATCACTTCAATATAAGTACCAATCAGCTTAATAGCCATTCCTCTTAAAAGATGATCTTCATGACTGGTGTAAGTGATTGCAATTTGTAATACAGTTTCTGTTGTGTCTGAACAAGTATAAATTAAATTATTGACAAATCATTACTACAATTATTATAGGTTATATTTTTTTCAAAATATGTTCATACTGGATAAGTCTAATGTAATTAGAGCTAGTTTTGGATCTATTCTCATCATTTCAGTGATACACCCAAGTGCTGAAGATCTTACTCCTGTTCTAACATGTCTATTGGCATCTGGAGCTAAGAATAATGATGTGATTTTCTTACATAGTGTATTTAATGGTACATCATCACAAATTTGATTAATAAATTCTAATTCCTATAAAAATAATTATTTATTTTATTACTTAACATTACTTAATAAATCCTTATTACTAATAACTTAGATATAAATATATCCATGACCATATAACACCAAACCACAGTAAAGATCCAAATCGGGTTACCAATAAAATACAGCAAGGATCTATGCATGTTTTATGATTCACTGAATAATGGTCCCCGGAATATTATTCACCAAAAATGTATCACAAGAAAAATATCCCAGGTTACAAAATTTAATATATTATATCATTATAAATAATTAATTGTACATAAGGACGAGCCTGAGTAGCTGATTATATATTTTATTATGACGGACTGAATTTAAAGATTTCGTTTTGATTTTAAATAGTTAAAAAGAAAAAATTAGGCCCATTTTCCACTGTATGGTACCATAATTTGTTGATACTCCGCTCATGACTTTGGCAGCGACAAGTGTGAATTGTACGTCTTGATGTAATATGTTATACATGAGTAATGTATTTATTAAATTATGTTGCGTATAAAAAATGAGGGGTGGTAACAATAAGTGTAGGGCTTTTATGTATTAGGACATTTTTCCACGGTTTTATATATGCTAATAACTTTGAAAAAAAATTACTTGTTGTAGAACTGAACCGGTTGTAGAATGACAACTATGTTCCGAAGTTACACTCTGCAAATCAAAATCTCGAGGACTCTCATATTCTGAAAAGAATACATTTTCTGCTATCGAGTCTACCTCGCTCAAACTGTCATCACCAAATTCTGAATATAAATTGGTCATCGAATTTGCTGATGAAATAGAAGGTCTTGTCGATTCAAAAGACTGTGATGCTGACTTTGGTTCATCCTCAAACTTTGGAAAAGAAACTTGTACAAATGTAGATTCTAAACTTTCAGATGAACTATGGTGAAATGATTTTTCTAAACTTTGAGCTAATGTTTGTGGCATCTTAATAGAATTGACTAGGGTATGCATTTTAGCTAAAAAATATATATAAAATGATTATTATTATTTATTATTTTTTAATTATAAAATAAATGTTAATAAGTGTTAATTATTTAAATTTTTAACTAACCAACTTCAGTCTCATAAAGTTTAGTTTGGTTCAACATCTTTTTTTTTGTCAAAACTTGTAATGTATCAGATGGACAAAAGATAAACAATTGGGTTAAAGTTTCCAATGCTGATGTTACAATGTTAGTGTCTGAGTGCATCAAGGTAAAGCAACAAAATCTAAATATCTAAAATTAAAATTAAAAAGCATCAAAACATAGTTGATAAAATCAAATTATATTAAGTAAACAAATATTTGATTGAGTATGAAAAACAAATTTACTTGTAAATAGATTTTTTGAATATATTTTGCTTCTAGTTTAAATTCACTTGAATTATTACTTATATATGTTGAATATTGCATTATGTTTTTCAAATTATTTAACAAACCGATAACCACACAACTTTCTGCCCAAACACATTCAGATACCATTGATTTATTGAGATCTATTAAATGTATTGAAATTTGTTCGTTCAATGAAAATATATGTTTGTACCTATCGTTTTTATAACTCAAATACATTACCGTGAATCAACACAGAATTTATGAGCAATACATATTTGAAAAAAACCATTGGTTTTCTACAATAAAGACATAAGGCTTCTATGCAGGTAACACTTGATCTACGAATAGTTGAAGATTCTGTTATAAGGTTATTGATAAAAGTCTCCAATAGCACCTATAAAATATAATATAAAATATAATACCAATTTACAAGATGCAACATTTTTATTTAAATGAAAAAAAAAAATACCTTAATATTATTGTCAGACATAATATGTCCCAGACTTTGCATGATTTTTGGAAAAGTTTGCTCTAACATTTCTGCAATTGGGTCTTCTGATCTCATACCAATTTTTTTTATACAAGGAATTAAAAACAAAACAAATTTTTTTCGGCTAGAAGGACTAAAATTAAAAAATAATTAGTTAATACACTCTAACTACATCAAACAAATTGAATGTTTTTAAAGTTAAAATTACGTGATTAAGTGACAAATTTTTCCAAATCTTGATAAAGCAGCTCTTAACCGACGCACAGTATCATTTCTCTTAATTTCTTTTAATAACTCAACGAATATTTCAGATTTTCGATAGTCTATCATGCACTACAAAAAATATCATAATGTAGGTATTATAAACTCAACTTCCACAAAGTACTAAATAATTACCGATTTTACTTACACGAACAACTCTATTTAAGTTTTCTTCAGCTACCATTCGCACATTAGCTTCTGAATGATCACACATTTTCAATAAGCTATCAATGGACTTGTGTAATAAATCACTAAAAGATGAAAAATTCATAATGATCGGAGCACAAATCAAATCGGCTGTAGTGCGACAGTATTTTTCTTTTTCGCCAGCTCTTAAAAAATTAATATCACAATAAGTATATTATATTCCTGTATAAAAAATAAAAAAACAATTCAATAGCTTATACCGTCCGACCAAATCATTAGACGTAAGCCCATCAAGAGCTCTTGCGAGCCTATCTATAACAGACATTGCGGAAGTTGCAGTTAAACACTGAAAACTTCAATAATTTATATTGAAATAGTAGATAGAAATCACATTTTTAAAAATACGTCACACAGAATATAAAGTATGTATATTAACGAAAAAAGAGACACATTAATTAATTACTAATTTTAATTTATGTTTTCTAACCATTATAATATAATTATAATAAGTATAATTAGTATTATAATATGTACATCATACTGTAAATTATTGTGACTAATAGAGCAATTTGTAAATATTTATGAAAATTTAAACGTGAACATTTGATAAGAAATGGCCTAATAATTGATAACAGTTGAGTGATAATAACAACACATACTGGAAATTACATTATTACGATCATGAACATAATATAATAATATACTATTATGATTATGATTTACGATGAAATATAATTATTCATCTTTAATCGTGCTAAATCTAATTACTGTACATTTTACAATAATAATTTCCGTTACAACTATGCATATAATATGTAATGAATGCATTTTTTTTTTGTTATTTATTACTTTACTATCGTCTATTCATTGCTCGAATTGGGGGGGGGAGGGACTGAGTAACCCAATTAGTTTTTCAAAAATTGTAGCGTGCCTCCACTAGTTGTTATTAGTGGTGGTTTTTTAGGGGTTAAAAAAAGGCCGCGTATCCTCTTTTTTTAAAGTAAAAACGTCCCACAACTTTTATTTTTCCAATTTGAACACTGCGTACATTACCTACTGTAATATAATTATTATTTAATAATCACTAATTATTCTCTATGACATAAGTCTAAGTTGCAAAACTAATGTAATGGTAAAGACTACAGAAACCGCAATGACGTGTTCTGTCGCGGCTACGATTATAAATTATAAAGAAAAAAATCATTCAAAATTACAATAAAACGTACCTATATTATGAACTCATGATTGTGTATATAGATGTAAGTTATAATTGGAATATTATAGCAAATATAAAATGATGAACAATATAGTTGTTTTAATTTTCCATATAATTAACACTATTGAAAGCTCAAATTCGACTATACTGGAATAATGCTTAAGTCTTCATAGAGACTTTTGCTGTTTTTTTACCACATGGGGTTAACATCTAAATAGAACAACACGCAACATGATGTCGACATTAAAATATCATATGTAAAATAAAAATTATAATAAGGCGTTCTGCCTTATTATAACATGGGGTCGAGACTGTCAACAGCTTATAACAACGTAAATGTCAAAATATGTTAAACTGTATTATTTTATTGTATGAGTTTTTAAAAAATTCTAAAATAAACTTTTGAACATCTTGTACAGCTGTTACCCAATAGAAATGATTGGCCGAAATCCGGATTTTTAAATTTAAAAAAATAGGTTTAGGCTAAGATTTTCACTGTATTGTAAATTCTGATTTTATATATTTATTTAGTAAATATCAAGGGAGAAGCCCAAATGTCAATAGCACGTAAATACACGTACTAATACACAACAATTGAGTAACTTATAATACATCAATCGTCATTAACTATACTATAAACAATAAAATAGTCAGAAAATAAGCTTTAAAGAAGATAAGTCTAAATTAGTAATAACATAAGGTAATTTATTGGAAAATTAGGCTGATTATTGGAATTAAAAATGGGACATTAGAACGGGTGAAACGGATAGGAACTTTTATGTTTTTAAAAGAGAACCAGTCGGGATAATATATTTTAGCAGAAAGGCGATTTGAGAGGAAGGTAATATAGGCTTTATTTACGATAGGCTAATGTAAATAATTCTCCTTTTATACTCCAATATTCATATAATTTTTATTTTATAAAGAATAAATTCATCTTCTGAACTCAGCATCAAAGCTAAAATAAAAATACATTTCTGTAAAATCAATACCTTTTGAGTTTTGTATTAAAGCTAAAATAAGTAGATATTTAGATTCGAATTATTATTGTATAAGGTGTTAGTTGTGTTTTAATGCCTGGCTATATATATGGCTACTCCATAGTGGCAAATCGTGCCTATGTGCGTCATTAACGGTAGGAAACTTAATCATGTAGTGTTCAACAATTTTTGTTATAATTATAATATATACGTATAGGTTTATAAAACAAAAATTGCACGAGTGATACAATATATATTGCTATAATTTGTAAATACACGTTATGTGAATACACAGATACAGGAGATACAAGTGTCAAGTGGTTAAGTCAACGGTGTATTACAAAAACATTATAAACTAAATGTGTCCGGAAAGTTAAAAACGGTTATTTAATTTAAATAAGATGCCCGTATGTTTCAGCCCGAGTAATCGCCACATTTGTAGCACTTGCAGTCCGCTGGTTCTTTCAGTTTCACATCCAACGTGGCCAATTTGTCACTGGTCAGTCGTTGACCGTCCGGATCGTAACAGTGGGTTAATGTGATTACCCTTTCCCTTAAGAACGTTTCACGGCAGCAGTAACACTCCTGGTCGCAATCATAACAATACGTCAGTAATATTCTTGTTTTTTTTTTAAATTATAAAATTGATATTTCAATTTAAACGAAAATAAAATCCATTGCGTTCAATGTTAAACTGACTTTTAAGAAACCACTTGGTGTTATGACACTAGGCTGTACTTGAGAGCTACATGCACCCTCGCACTTGTTCACTGCTATGTCGCCGTTGCACGTCCTCTGCAATCTGCCCAATTCGTCGAATTCCTCTAGTTATGTAAATAAAATGTAATAAATTATACATTGAACAGCTAATTATTTTCATACATTGGTTTATACATGCTCAATTCTCATATAATATTATATGAAATGATTCACAACTAGAAGTCGGACAATATTTCTTGTGAATTGATACATTTCTTCTTTTAACCCCTGACTCAAAAAGATCTAAATTTTCCAATATTTTTAGACAAAGATCTCTCTCAGCTATTTCTCTCTCCGACTGATTATATTTTCATTTGCTATTAATTTATGAAAACCTATATTTAAATTTTTATTAACACAAGAGTATCGACTAGAAAATATAATGAGTGATCCAGTAGCAATTTTAAATCGGCAATGATATTTAACTTGAAAACAGGGAAAATCTTAAAAGTTGAGATTAAAAAATAAGGACATGTAAAACTCTCAAGCATTACTTCTCAGCTGCTTCAACTTGAAATTTTTTTTTAAATCACAAATATAAATTCATTGAAAATTAAAAAAGGTTAAACGAAAATCTCATATTCCATTACCTCCCATTAGTATAGTTAAGATTGGTAATTATATTATAGTTAAACATAAAACTACAGTTTTTTTAGAAGATGAACCCTCCTAAGCTCGGCTCTACTTTCCACTCATGTTCTATCTAATATTTAAAAAAAATAAATAGATATTAACTTAGAATAACAGTCTCGTTTAAATGTAATTAAATTAACTAGGTATAAGTTAAAAATGAGGAATGGAATACTTATACCTAAGTATTCAGTATAAGTCACGAAATTCTAAATTATATCTTTTGTTTATACCATTAACTTATCTTTGTGTGTGTGATTGGAATGAGCCATTGTTGTACTTATTTCCTCAATTATCAATTCTAAATTTTACGTTTTAAAAATGAGAATATTAAAATTCAAAACCATTAAATGCATTGGCCTGCTCATGCCTCATAGTCGGTAATATCGCTCGTACATAAACACATTTAAGGCGTGGATGTTCAAATGAGATTTGCTCACCTTTAGTTATGTGCAGATCAGATGGTAAAGTCTCGCAAGCTTCTGGATTGTTGTCATCGGCTTGAGTACCGTCAAGGACTAGACAGACCAGAGTAAAAAACGAAAAAAATAACAGGTTTCGATTCATAGTTTTAACGGAGTTAATGTCTTTTTTATACTTAAATATATTAAGAATTTTTAAAAATGATAAACGGTCTCAAAGGATTAATTTTGTCTTTTAGTCGACCTAAGTTTTTAGATCTCGGTTTGGGAACGTTCAGTGACCATTAACGTCTACGGCAACACTGTTGACGATTTCCGAATTGCACATAAAGTATTTCTACCCACACGGGTCGCTAATGTATAGAGTGTAGCATAAGAATGACACCAGGAGGTCTTGGGGTTTTAAACATTTTCATCGTGTCGAAACAAAATATATCACCAATATATTTTATAATATATATTGCATATACTTTCAAAACGCTTAAAATCGAATCACATAATAATTCACCATTTAAAATGAATACAGGAGGGTGCCGTTATTTCAATTTTTAAAGGTTGCGGGGGATTTCTGATCAGCCCATGGTAAATTAAACTGCTAGGTTTAATCGGCTAGAAAAAAAGCTCCCTTTTAACACTGGGAGTCTCTCTACTCAAATGCCTACTTCCCACCCTTTCGAATGACTCCACTGCGCAAGAGAACTTGATTCATAAATTATACAAATGTTAATTGTAATAATGATACAAATTATTTAATTAATGATTCAAATATATTTCAGGCCAACTCACGATAATTTATTGGACTAAAAATATGTTAATGATTGGATACTAAAAGTATTGGATGTATAACGATGCTTTTGTTATATCTGTATGCTTACAAACGTATTAACTCTGGTATTAACGCATTTTATAACATCAATGACATTAATTACCGCGTAAACAAATCAAATTTGTGTCATCCATCTGTAAATAGCTACAAAATCATCTGGATCAGATTCTTAACAGGTACATATTAATTAATACCTGAATTATTATTCTATGTAACTTTATTTTTTATGACACAAATGACACGATTTTTTCGTAAATTTTCCTTTTCAATTTAAAAGCTTAAATTTGTTTACGTTGACAGACATGATTAAACATGCGCTTTTTAAAATAACAATATAAAGAAATAATAAATCAATTAGCTTTGGTAATAATCAATATTAATACCTTTGTTTAGTACCAGTAGCTGTCCAAATTACTTTGAAAGCCCAATAATTTAGTAAGGCTCATTTTAACACACAATTACAAATACAAGGCATTATATCAATAATATATTATTATACATTGGTACATAAGATCGTTCACCCTCGTCCCTAACTTTATTGAAGTATTAAATGACATGAATGCTAAGATAATATGATAATTCATTTTTAAAAATGTCCTAAACCCTTTCCCCTCTGAAGTTTATTTTTTAGTCTAAAAAAATAATACTGAAGCATAGTTCTAATACATATATGCATATGAAGAAGTTAAATAGGTATCCAATATTTTTACCGGATAGAACTTTTCAATAATATTTTTTATACGTGAAATCACATAGGGTCCATTACTCTAACAGTCTATACAGACATTTTAGCCAGCACCTAAATATGTGTTAGTTAATGTTGTGAACTATTAAGGATTTGTTACGAATTTATCAATTAGCCACTGAAAATTGCAGTTATTATTAAACGGTCAGTATATTGCCTATAAATACTTATTTCCAAAAGAATAGGAAAATTAAATGTTAATATTTTTCTTTATTTTGATGTCTCGCTTTGTCGACATAACGTGCATTTACTTTTACGAGACTTTATTACTATTTTTGACGCCAACGAATTGTCTGGATTTAAATGATTAACATGTTCAGGAGCTCACACCAACTGAGCCATATAATCCATAAACCGTGTTAGCTGCCCAGGAGGTCTGTTTCCGCTAATAAATCATTAAAAGTCGGAAGCCAGGGACATTGTACTCTGTATTGTAAAAGCCAAAGCCATCGCTCTTGAGGTTATTCACAGTATGGTCTTTGAGTCGTAATGTCTTCCGTCAGCCAGCAAGTTTTCGGTAAGTCCAGAATCGTTTTAAGACTAATACATTTATTTAACCATTTATAATAAAGTTAATAAAATCGTTTTGGTTAAAATACAATTTTGCTTCAGAGAGCATCGCTTCACCTACTTACAATAAAAAATAAATTAAAGGCGATTTTTTAATAAAACTTAGCGTAAAGATTAAAAATTGAACTACTCATATAGTAATATAGCAAAGACAATATCTCTAATAGTATTTGATTTGTACTTCTAACTTTTACAACGCAGTTGTATTGCTATTTTTTTTTATAAAATCATACCTGTAGGTATACAATTCTAGGAAATTGAGTAATGTTTACATTTATTATTATATATTGGAAATATTTAGAATCTGTATTAATATGTAATATAAAACGGCTAATTTTTTTTATTTTACAAAGCTGAACGACTTGAGTGAAGGGAGCAGTTCAGTAACACTATTTCAGGAGATTATCTTCTATACAGATTTTATACAGCCTTCTTTTATACAACCAAGATTGAAGATATTATAATTGAAGGGTACCTTTTTCTGTTGTGCGTGAACAGGTTTAGATGAAAAACAATTTTTAAATTGCTGTGGTAGTCCGAAAAAAAATTAACTACAGAAAAAGAGTATTAGTTACTGAACTAATAATTACAAATCATAGTTTAACCTTTACCCAGGGCCTTATTTACGCAAGGACATTGTGGATATTTGTCCAGGGCCCATGCGGATCAGGGGCCCACCTACTAGATTTAATCCTTTTAATTTAATTCACAACTAACAATTTTATTAATATTACAATAATAATAGGCTGATTTTTTTCTTTTGTCCGGGGCCTCGAAAATTCTAAATCAGGCTCTGGTTTAACCTTTAAATTACGATTCGGCAACAAATCACCTATACTTAACTCTCTAATAAATAGAGGGTATGGCGTCCTCTTAAATCGGACATTTTATTTTGATCCTTAAAATCTCCCTACTTAGTTATGACTTATGCCACTGTTAATTAGGTACTGTTTATTTTTACAGGATACATTACAGCGTTGGCGCTGTGCCACTTAGCTCTAGCCGACAACGGTAACGGCGTCGTGGTCACAGCCAGGTCTAACGACGACTGTCAGGTAACACCGGTCATTCACGTGCTCCAATATCCGGGGTGCGTGCCCAAGCCGATACCGTCGTTCGCTTGTACGGGACGGTGCAGTAGTTATCTGCAAGTGAGCATAAATTATATTATATTAACGCAAAAAAGCTATCATCGTTATATTCAATACAATCAAGTACAGACTACAATCAACTATTTGTACCAATCGTTATTTTTTCATCGCGGTAGGTTTCTGGTTCAAAAATCTGGCAAATGGAAAGGTCGTGCATGTGCTGCCAAGAGAGCGGCGAGCGGGAAGCGTCGGTATCGCTGTTTTGCCCTAAAGCCAAACAGGGTGAACGAAAATTCAGAAAGGTTTGAGTGCCATTTTATTTAAGGCCTCCATGCAAATCCACATTAATTTTATTGCTGTAACGTTTTGGTTGATGGTCGTTTTCAGGTGACGACGAAAGCACCGTTGGAATGCATGTGCCGCCCTTGCACCGGTATCGAAGAAAGCGCGGTAATACCTCAAGAAATGTCCAATTACGCCGCCGACGAACCACCGATCAACGGCCATTTTTCCAAATCCGTTTAAGTAACAATTTCTAAATACACATTCGAGTTGTCCGAATTTTGTTTTTTTTTTGTAAACCGTCTAAAGAAAATCTACACGATATTTTAATATTTTGTCTAAATCACATATTATTATTATACCAAACCCTATACAAACCATTGAATTACCTAAATATAAACATATTAAATTGCAAATAAATGTTAGATTACTTCTATGTGTGCGTTTTTATAAAACTTAATATTATTATTATCTTCTACATCTCAAATTCATACAGAATTCGAATGATACAGTAATTGCGTACTTTAGAATTAACATAGTGGATTAATATAAACATTATATTTTGGTATCCGTAACTAAGAAATAGATAATTACAAATGTACAATGACAAATATTCATTTAAAAAATACACACATGCATAGATTAGGTACAGGCATGGATTGACATTTTCTAGATCTACCCCTAGAAGCTATATTAAACTGTAATAACTATAATATTGCGTTAAAGTGTTCATTTCACCTATAGGTCTGTTTTGATGTGCACGGTAGAAAGTTGTCAAAAGGGTTTTTTTTTTTAGTTTTTAATAAGTAGTTTTAGAAAAAAATCACAGAATCAATACAAATATAATAGCCATAGCGGCGCACAGTAAACATGCTTCAGGCAGTGGCGGATTCAAGTTAAAAGGCCCAGTCCGAAATCAAAACCAAGGGCCAAATAAAATAATTATTCAGGGGCGGAACACCATTTTCGTTTTTGATTATATTAAAGGGTTTAATTGCCTAAATTGTAATTATATCAAATAATTATTAATAATAATTATTTGTCCTGAATTACTTAGCCAAGTAAAATTCAAAGCTCCTATCTTTCATTCTGGTTTTCTCCATCCTTTATTTAAACCGTTTGCACCACCAATTGCTCCAAAAACCGCCCAATTTATAGGATAATACGCATTCCTTACGAGGTGCTTTCCATAACTAAATAATTTATTATTAAAATTTGTAAAACGTGCAAGTACCATTATTCACATTTAACGTGTTTAAAAGATCTTCTAATAGGTGTTATATTTTTTTAATATTCCTGATTCCAGTAAAGTCAGTAGTGACACCAGTTATTTTAGTGATAACGATACAATGATTGTGATAATAGATGGAAATTTGAAATACATACATAGGTACTACAGATGCAGCTGCTGTCAACAAATTATTAAATCTACTTGTTAGTTATTATTCAAATTACTAAACTTTAAACTTAGAGATTAAAATCTAAATTATAAAGTAAATGGTAATAGGTTATTGCGTAAAGAATTTAAATAATCGCATAACTTATAATCATAAAATGGTCGACAAGAAATATTACACAACCATTTTGTCTCAAACTTTTTCTCCGTGTGGAAATTACTTAATCACTGGTAACAACTATGGTATTCTAACAGTATATAAGTAAGCTTGTATTTTTACAATTTTTCTAAATTATGTAAAAGTTATTGTAGTTTATATTGATATTTACTAATCATTTGTTATTGTAGTTTAAAACATGAATTACATTCGGATAATGATCTCAGAGATTCAGAATTTTCAAAAGATCAATCTTATGGATTTGAAATGATAAGAAAAATGCAAATCAGTAGTTTAGCGTCCGGAGATAAATTTTTAATAGTTGGCGGTGTTGGGTTAATTGTGGGTGTGGATTGGGATACAATTATCGGTAGCAACTATGAAGAAAATTCTAAAATTGAACCTTTAAGTATCAGCTGGAGTATAAACATTCCTGCTCCCAAGTAAAAATGATTACATTAATTTTTAACAAAAATTGTAATTTGATTTCATCATAACTGCTTATTGTGTATGTCTTCAGAGATTCAATGTTAACTGTAGATGTTAATTGTATGATCCTCAACAAAGAAGATAACATTTTATATGCTGGTTGTGGAGATAACATTGTTTACGCCTTCAATTTAGAATGCGGTGATGTTATACATAAACTTGAAGGGCACAGCGACTTTATTCACTCAATTGATGACTTGTAAATTATTTATACTTGTACAGTACATAGTTTGTTGTAAAACTCAAAGAAAATTGATGTGTATTTTTTTTTATAGAAATGATACTATTTCATCGGCAAGTGAAGACGGATCCGTTTTATTTTGGGATAAACGTACTAAAACTTTTACATCTAAAATAATTCCCAGCAGTAATCCAGCTATTAGAAGACCAGACTTAGGGAATTGGATAGGTTCCGTTACAATCACTAAAGATTGGATGGTAAGAGCAGTTATTTTATTTTTGTGTTATTGTTTTTATTTTAAATACATATGATATTTTATTTGATTATCAGTTGTGTGGTGGTGGAACTAAATTGTCGTTATGGAACCGTTCCATGGCTGCTCCGATGACTGTTTATAATACTACCGAAGATTCTGGAATACACGTAACTAAACTGATGGACGAATCATTGTATGCAGGAGGGTGTTCTAAATATTTTTATCAGCTATCGTTTACTGATGAAGTGATGTGTAAAATTGAAACTAGTCCAGTAACGGTCTTCAGTTGTGTTAGTCAAGACAGTCCTTTCAAGGTTAGAATCTAATAGTAATAATTTTTTAATAATTAAGTTGTTTTATATAATAAGAAATTGTATAAATACCTTTTTATTATTAAAAGCCTGGTCCTTGTGAAATTAAGCCGGCGCAAAAATTAATTTTATTTCTTTGTATTGCAGGTAATGTGTCTTGCTGGTTCTAGTAACAAAATAGACGTCTGTACCAACTTGAATTACAAAATGACTACTCTAGGACTTTAAATTTAATTTTTAATTTTAAATATAATAAATAAAAGAAGACAATGTTTGTATTTTTTTTCTTTGAGAATTATGATGATTATGATAATTTAGTTATCATCCTATTGTATTTTCTATTTTTTTTTCTTTTCTATTTTATTTTTTAACTGTTAATGTATAAAATAAATTAATATTTTTGATATTACCAATAAATACAATGTATATTTTTTATTATAATTTATATGTCAACTAAAGATACGCCAAATATTTTTTCCGAAAATCAATATTATCAGTTAATAGAATCTAATGGATCTTATTTAACACTTTAATTTAAATATTTTATCTGTTTAGTTTAAAAAAACATTTAATCCAATTAAAAAATGTATTGTATAATGTTTTGTTTTAAAATATCTTACTTCTATATAATATTGCACTTGAAGTAATAAGAAACTACAAACTATACAAAAAAAAACATTGATATAATATAATCTTATAAAATATACATGCAAATATTATACACAAATTTATTTTAAATATAAATATGTAATATCATAAACATTTTCCTACGTTTGATTTATATACATTGTTAGTGTATAATTTTGCAGCTATTTACAGGTCACTGTATAATAGACAATTTTGCAAGTTTAAAGTATGTTGTATAAAAACAATGTTATTACTAATATTTGATGCCATACAGCCATCATTTTAGGTGTAAAACTAGCTATTTTTTAAACTGTCCTACATTTTTTGTAATAGCCTGATAGCCATAAGTATAGAGACTATGGAAACACCGTATGTATTTGTGATATTTATACAACCTTTATTTATATTAATTGTTTAAAATTTTATTACACACAGTAGTTTTTGAGCAAAACTAACTATTATGAAATCGAAAGATAATACAATGTTGTACCTGTATTTTAAACTATTAGGAATTTGGTTAATGTTAAATGTTAAAAAAGGCAGTTTTTACTTAAAACAAAAAATTTGTGAAATTCTTTTTTGTGTTTTTAAAACTTTGAGCTATTAGTATCTTGTTTTGTTCATAATGGCCAATATTTAACTATTTTAGTTTATAACTGTTTCTATTCACCCCATTCTAAGATGTACCTACCTACCTACTAGGACTAGTTGGTACAGTTCAAGGGCTTAAACAATTTTTTAAGTACCACATAAGTTCTTCTTACATCATTAAAACTTGCTCGACAAGCAATAGCATATTTTACAACATAAAACATTATACACAATTATCTGACGTCTGTATTTTGTAGTTAAGGTTTTACATAAAATTATGAGTTTTAGTTTTTATTTTTTAAATAAAAACTTCCAGGAAATATTAGATTATAAAATATTCTAACAAACTAGTTATCAAATCATTAGAAGATAAAACAATTTTAAAAATGTTTATCACTGGTTGACACGAACTATGATAAAATTCTATATCATAGTCCTTGCTGGTACTAAACTTGTATAAGTTAGACCATTAACATACTACCTATTTATTTATAAGCGAGATGTCATTCTTTTTTTATATTTTCCATTTTTTTTTTAATTTGAGATATTTATAGTTACACGACTGAATTTATTTTGTCACTACATTTTAAGAAATTTTACATAAAATGCCATAGTTTTTGGATTTTTTGAGTACTCAAGTTATATATTACGGGGTGATTGTATACCGAGAAGACTAATGAGCCTATTGCTTTAAGTTTCTGCAGGTATTATGAACTCTTTTTCCTTTATCTTGAATTTCGTTCGTTCTGACTTCTGTATAAGCTTTGCCTAACCATAATTTATAATTACAGATATCGGCCACCAATATCATAGACAAAATAATATTTCCCCAAATGCCTTTTCTGGAATTTTCATTTTGTTATTAAATTTTAGTCATAACTTATACCTATTTTAGTTAGCGTTCATTATCATCGCAGAAAAAACTGCATTATAAAGCCTACAGATGCCATGGCCCATGAGAGATCAAGGGAATACTCTATATGGCACGACGTGCCACTTATTGTTACATTTGGCACCCGTGCACGTATGACACGTTCCGCACTAGAGCAGCCGCCGTGGTCAAGAAGTTCCACCGCGCGCTGCCGTTACCCTGATAGGGTGTGCCGATAAACGTGGCCGGCAAAGAATTAGGAATTTCGCCGCTAGACATGTCTCGTTCAGCAGCCACAGCAAACACCCTGTGTTCCGTTCTACCGTCATGAGACGCTTGTTCCACCGCCGAGTGTAGCCTGTGTTGTTTGTGTCCGAAATCGCTGTCGGCCGGATCCGTTGACTGTTGCCTGATCTGATCGAGACGCAACTGATTCTGACGTTTCCATTTTGTCCTAAACGTAAAAAAGTAATTACTGTATCGAAGTAATTTTACCTAAACGTTAAAAACTATCCTAAAAATATTATAAATTAACCTAGAAATAAGTTAACATGATTAAAATGTTATTAACCCAATTCTTTTGGTCAAATATACCTCGAATTTAGGCCCTTAATAAATAGCCACGACCACGGCCTTATTACAATCAAAATGTTAAAAAACCAAACAAAAATATCCAATTTAAGTAGTAGCTTGTGCTCACGGATTACATACATGTGAATCTTAATCTTATGGCCTTATATAACGACGTTTTAAATAAGGTAACGGTTATCATATCCCTCGAAAATAAGTAGTACCTACTATATGGTATTAAGAAAAATGGTATTTTTAAACTCAAAAATGTGTACATTTTGGTAAAAAATTTTTTATGTACTGTTTTTATTTTTGGCCCCGTGAAATGTTTATCGACAATGATTTCTGAACTAATAAAAATATTTCCTTCCCAATTCCGCATTGATGCTAAACAAAATTGCGTTTTCTACAACAGGCATAAATGGACGAAAAACTGGCACGCCAGAGAACATAGTGTTTAGTAAGCTTTGGGGATGTTAGTAAATTAATAACAAATAAAATGATCTGAGGACGTGAAAACCAAATTACGATATCATTTTAAGTAAACGATCAAAGTTTAAATTAGGCATTTAATTAATTAGAAAACTAGTCAGTACGACACGATTGTAAACCAGACCAAAATACATCCGTTTTATGTGATTCTGTTCACTAAATCCAAACATGGCCTAACGGACGACGAAGAGTCGTGCAAAGAGGAGAAAGCCAAAGTCTGCCAGTGCCTTTTCGCCGAGTTGCCGTTCGACGCCGGCGATAACTCGTGGGATGGATTGATAAGATTTATCACATCGCGAACAATTACATCATCGGTTCCTCCGTGGCCTTTCAGTCCGTTCTCGAAGAACCGCTGTTATCGATTTGTGTCGACACTGCCGCTATTCGACAGCCGACAATTTGGAAACGCGCCCGAAGAGCCGTTGGCCAGGTTGAGATCGATCAATAGCTGATGTTTGTGCTGGTGTTGTTAAGTCGAAAACAAATGGATCAATGGATGACAATGGATCAAGACTGTAAAACGGATTGTTGCACCGTGGTTGACAGTAGTAACTTACTAGTCAATATTGGATGTTGACCGCGTTCACTGTCTGTTTGTTGTTAGTTTCTTAAGTTAGTCTTTCTTCGCCGCCGTGACATTGAGCGCCGTGAAACATTCCTGACGCTGTAGCGAAGATCCGAAGTTACTCCAATACGACGTCATAACGATCTAGCCCCCTTACCACCCAATCGGAAAATTGGTCGAATTTGGAAAAACGCTTTGGTGAAATTTATAGTTTGTATTGTACAATTTCTTAACTAAAAAAAATATTCATTTGTTTTATTTTTTCTTATTGTTACTTATTTAATGTTATGTTACCATTCTTATTTTTCTGGTCAAAAATGAGATTTTTTGTTATTTTATAATGTTAAGTCAAGTTAATGCATTATACAGGGTGTATCATAAAGAATGGTGGGGTTTCAAACGGCGTAAGTTGTGAAGTATTGGACCTACAGCGCTCTGGTAGGGCTTGAATGATAGAGGGAGTTGTCAAGTTTTGAATGACTACTATTGGACGTCTCTGCTACTAGATGTTTCACAGTCGTAACTGAATTTATGTTGTACGGACGCCATCTTAATAAACTAAACAATGAAGGCTGGCGACACAAATGGGAACGTGGAGAGACATCTAGTGGCAGTCATTCATAGGCGGAGATTGGGGGGTGCTTGGGGGGTCTTAGCCCCCCAAAAAATTAATCAAATCTCCGTCTATGCAGTCATTCGAAACTTGACAACTCTCTCTATCATTCAAGCCCTACCAGAGCGCTGTAGGTCCAATACTTTTCAACCTACAGCCGTTTGAAATCTCACCATTCTTTATGATAAATCCTGTATTATAGTATTAACTTCGCAGCCGGCAGCAGCCGCAAAAATGTTCCTTTTACAAAATAGTCATTAGCGCTTTTTGTTTAAGTTATTACATACATAAATATTTATAAATAATTCGCGAATGCGTTCGCTGCAGTGTTGTTACAACCATTTTTGAGACTTTGGTGTATGTTAATTTTAGAGGCCTCTTTTACTCAATTAATAACCATCAACGACTTTTCAGGACCCCTGAGCAGAAGAATATGATCATGTCCTATTTCATATTTACCAAATCATAGCAAGATCAGATTCATAATCTTAAGAACTATGTAACTTACAAACAATATCTATTCTAACAGTCATCAGTCATTACTCATCACTTATTTTTTTTAAATTTAATTGTAATTTTCCAGATTTGACCAAACGTAGCATGCGTTGGAAAAAAAAGTATTTAAAAAAAATAATTGGATCAATCGAGTATCGACTTATTCTTGAATGGATATTTTTTTATTACAGTCTTTTTTAATTTTATAACTTGCAAGACATCTGACATACCAACATAATAATTGGATTATACATTGCAATATAAAGGCAAGTGACATAATTTACATATACCATTCGCTTCGTATGTATTTTTTTTTACAGGTACAATCATTAGTATGACGATTTTCCGTACAAAAACAAATTTATAATATTGAACCATTTTGATCTTATCAGACGTGTCAGACGGGGTAATTGTAAACATTTTGTTTTTAGTAAAAACAACAATTATTACTGTATTCAAGAAGATCTATAATATCATTGTGTGCCACTGCCAATCGACAATCACTGTTTACAAAATTAAATAAAAACTCGTGACATTATGGGCCAGTTGTACCGTTATTGTTTAAACAGTGATTAAGTTTTAATCAATGATAAAATCTGTTGGGTAGTTTTACGGTGTCGGTTAACCTTCTAATCACTGATTAAAGGCCCGTCAAGTTAATCAATCATCTGGGCTCGATTAAATATCGATTAGTTAATTTTGTTGGTTATCATTGATAATTGTTATCACTTTGTGCTTTTAAAATTTTCTTCTACTACTAATATACTTAAATATAATGTATACTGTAAAATGTATAATGTATACTTAAATATACTTTCGCCTATTCGCTATTTGTGTTAAATAATTTATGAAACCGGAAACGACTATTTAGTAAGTGTATGCTCTCTGACGGTAACTTACCTCCGGTTTTGGTACCAAGTCTTCACCTGAGTCTCAGACAGGTTTAACGTTTCGGCCACGTCACTTCTGTCGGCTACGGACAAATATTTCTGAGACCTGAACTTCCGTTCTAAATAAGCAAGCTGCGCATGCGTAAACGCTGTTCGCCGACGCCGGACTTTGCGCCCACACGTTTTGCTACCCATCATGTCTTGATGTTGCTGATGGAAATTATTGTGATGATGTTTTTTTACCAATAACGGTAATGCTGCAAAACCATTGACGGTCAACGAACGTTCGTCCATATCCACAGTTTCTTCGTCACTGGACACATCTGGAAATAAAAAAAATAGAACATAGGATGAAATAAAGAATGTGTAAAAAATAACTCACCAAGGCATACTTCTAATACGTTGTATAGAGTGTATAGCTAAAATGTATCCCTTGGCTTAAATATAGGATTAATTTATTATAAATAGGTAACTACAAAATACAAAAAACGTATAATTTTCCAAATCAAGTTACTTTTACATTTCTGCTTGTAGGTACTCTCTGTATGGTTTCATGGTTCACATACATTCGATTAATTGAAACTAACGGTTTGTAGGCAATGTACAACTGTTATGTTACGTATTTTAAAAAATTAATATTGACTTGAAAAGAGAACTGAGGATTTTAAAAATATCTTCTTCATCCCAACTATTTGGTGTCGGCCACTCTTGTCCTAAACTTCCACTCTACACTTCTACATCATTTTCGCGTACACCAGCGCAGTCATCATATATCATTCTCAACAACCACCTTTTTCGGTCTATTAAAAAAATATAAGTTTAAGATGATTTACATATCTGCGAACCAATAGCCTTTTTTTTGTTGGTATACATTTTACTGCGCTATAAACGCTATCCACGATACATGTTACATGATCGGTTAAAAAATGCTTGCCGCCCAGACGCACGTTTATGAAAGTCGTAAGTTGTACGTGATAATACATATATATATATACCTTTTTTATATATATACAAGTACACCCTCCCCCGTATTTTTGTATACAATATACATGTATGTGAACTGGAAGTGGATTTAGTCGAATCGGACGTGTTCAAGAGGGTCTCGGCCACATGCGACGGCGACGACGGACCATTGAATTATCACTGCTGCACAGTAATTGCGTCCTTTTATCCTGGGCGCATACCTCATGCTGGGCACTATGAAAAGACTTTAAAAACAACACGAACTCCCTTCGTTTCTCACCGATAATGATTGTACGATCCGCCAAGGGTAAATGCTAAATATTCGCGATTCGAAAATAAACACAACAATTATTTACCCCAAAAACCAACAGCGATCACGAATAAACACTGCGCTGCATATTATTATATTCAGACAAATCAATATCTTGCGTCTATTACAATAGTTGTTGTTCTCTTTATTCCCAAATGTCCCTACATAAACTCATTATATTACTATTATACACACCGTGGCAATCACCCAGGGAGATCAAATCGTCTATACCACGGCCGCTTCACTAGTTTGCTCTGGTCATTATACTAACAACAATTATGTACAAATTGTCCATGTTCTGTATTAATTTATATGTATATAAATTCTGCGATTTTGGAGTAACGGTAAAAGTTAATTTATCAGGTTGGATGTATAGGTTGAACCAAACAATCGGTTAAGTTCCAAAAATACGATAATAGTCAATTTCTTAAGTTTACTCAAGAAAGTAGAACTTTGCTGTTTCGAATGTCAAATGTTTCAAACATAGTGTATACACTATACTTGAGAAATGAAACCATTAAATTTATAAACTTAGTTGATAAAATGACAGTTATAATTAATGTGGTTTTGAGTAACATAAATGAAGAAGTCCAAAATTAAATACCTAGTTTAATTGTTATATTATGTATTAAATCTCTAAACGGGTTGAATCATATACATATTAGGGTGGCCCTTAAAAAGTAGATTTTCGAATTTTAACCTCGACGTCCCCTAAAGAGTTTCTAAATAATTTAACATAGGGTTTTGACACTTGTGCACAAATCAATGAATAACTTTTTTCCTACTCCTTAGTTTAGCTCTTGAGCTGAAGTTTCTATGGTTTTTATAGTTTGGAGTCTGCTGAACACGAACACTATACCCGAAAGTTCATACCTGTCAACATTGTTGCTAATTTTTAAACAAGAGAGAACACAAAGAGCTGGGATTGTTTTACGTTTTATATTAAAGAATATAATTTCTACTTAAAAACCTAGAGAACGCCCCCCATCGCCGGGTAATGCTCAGAGAATATGTCGGGGACGGCAGATGACGTTATGTGATAATAACAGTACTGTCAAAAATATTCGCTAGGATTGTGATTTCAACTTATTACACCATTGTTAACTTTATTTTAAACATCGTGTTATTGGCCTAGTTGAGTTTAATCATTTTTGTACTATGTTACCAAAATGTATGATACACTGAACTCAAATATTAGGTTTCTAGTCCAATCTACATCCCCCAGGTAGGTACATTAAATACAATGTTATCGGAAAAAAGTACCAAAAATGCTTATTTTTTGTTAAATTTTCTGGCAACAATTTTGACAGGTATGAACTTTTGGGTATAGTTTTCGTGCTCAGCAGACTCTAAGCCATAAAACCATCAAACCTTTTTTTTTTTTTTATCTTATTTTTATTGTACTTAGAAACTTTTTAGGTGGCGTCGAGATTAAAATTCGAAAATCTACTTTTTAAGGACCATCCTAGTACCTATATCATAGTATATTCTATAGGTAAATCTCTTTGAAGAGGAGTCACTATACGATTTAAAATAATTTTCCCTACCAAATCGTTGAATGTTTGTGTTAGGTCTACCAATATCCATTAACACTTAACATGTAAACGTCAGACTGCCGATTGGTTGTATTTTAAACGAATAAGTTATAGCTCTTGAATTGTATGCTATGGGATCTTCGATGATATATGGACAGTGTTTTGATATGTTGACACTTGATTTTATTAATAGCAAACCGCATACATTTTACTTATACGCTGTATGTGTAATTTAAATTAAATTTGTTTTGAACCTTGTTATGTTTGCAGTTTGTCGTGTCGATGTTTTCAAATAACAATATTAAGATATCTATGGAATGAACTAAAGGCGTTTTGTTTTAATAACAACGCGGTCACAGAAATAATATTTTAGGATAAAAAAAATTAGTGTAAATGCTCAGCTCTTCATTTTTTAACATGATTTCATATAATTAAAAGCAACTTATGATTTCTATTTTTAAATATTTCTACACAAAAGTTATAATTTCTGTTATATATTTTAATCCTCCCAAGTATTAAAGTTTCAAACATTAAAAAAACCATTTTCTTTTTTCTTTGAGTGAATTATTTATAAGAAGAATGTATAATAAATACGGCCCGACGGGGCTCGCTTATTAAAATGTCTGGAAATAAATATAATTTATACAAATAATTATTTAATTACGAAGTCTCGAGTACTCACTTACAATAAATTATTAAAAAAGCTTATTTTGCATCGAAATAAAAAAGAATAGTCATAAAATGCAAAAAGTGTTCTATATGCTGTATGTAAAAGTATAATTGCAGTCACACTGAAAAAATATAATATATTTGTTGAATTAACTATACCAATTATGATGTGTGTGTGTATTGTATTTGTAAGCAAATACGTCCGTCGCTGAGTCATCTTTTTAATTTGGTCGCAATATATATAAAGAAAAAGTCTATAGAGCAGAAATTGTACCGGAAAGGTACTTATTTGGTCAAAAATGTCAATAGTTCACCTCTTTTCCTTCAAAAACACGCATAAAATGTACTTATTATTCAAATTAAAATTAAAGACGGCGTGCTATAACTTTTAAAAAATAATCGAATGAGTTCTTAATTAGAACATAATATTCTTTAAATATAGTATTATCAATATACCAATAATCTGACTAATAAATATCAAAACCCCTTTCCCTTATAAAGGCTAGAAACTTTTCCCTTTTTTCGCTTTTTTAAGTGTAATTTTAGAATTTAGGGCTCAAAGTTTGAAAATAAGACTAAAGGTAGATCTAGAATGGGGCTAACATAGGTATAACATCTACATTTCCTCGAAAAAAATCTTTAGTCAAATCTTTATTTTAAGGAAAAACCAAAAAAGAGGGAAAATACACTTTGACTGTAGTATATTTTTAAGTTTTATTTGTTTATATTTAAAATCCGTTTATCATTTTTATTTTTATTATTATTGCTTTCGGTTTTAATATAATTTGGATTTCGTAAAGGTATAAATGGTATTCAAAAACGATTTTGAAGACAATTTCAAACCCTGTTCAAAATAAGATCAGTAGAGACTTCAACACTAGAACCAGCAACAGCCAATAGTCATTCTCGGTAGTATAGTATAGTTATATAGTATATACTATACTTTACAGAATAAAGTATAGTAAAGACTAAAGTACGTGTATAATATTTATACGAGTTCGTCAGAGAACTTAATGGAGTTATATAAATATATGTTTATACCTAAGAGCTATATAAGCAATAGCACTCCCCATAATTATTGGTCGTAGCCAGGGGGGCCTGTGTACGGCATCGAAACAAATAATGCTCTAGTGCACCATTCTCCCCTCCCGTCAGGGGACCGTGCCTTCCGAAAAAAATTTTTTTATGATAATGTACCTATGGCATGCAACATATTATTTTTTGTAAAGCATATATATATATATGTACTATTCCTTAAGCCTTAACAATTAGTATTCCTCCCCAAAAAAAAAATCTGACTACAATACTTTCCTTGCTAATATTAGTTGAGAATGAGCCATATGCTTCAAATTAGACCATTGTCCAATTGCTATTACCTATTACTTATTAGTTATTACTCATAATATGATAGTCGAGATTGCGGGGTACTGACCTGAAGATTTAGAAGTTTGCAAAACGTCTCCGATAAGATCCCTGATCAAAAACGACGGCCTCGGACACTCCATGGCTTCGTATCGATGTCGCAACTAAAATGCCAGTGGCGTGCCCACAGGGGGGTCAGACTTAAGTCGGAAACACTCGCGTTTCTTCCCTTTAATAAACTTTGGACTATGATTCTGTGTTACGATAAATAGGTAACGGTATGCGCACTGTTATCGGACGGTTGCGGTCTTGAGAGTGCGAAGCGGTCGTAAAACGATGCATGCCGGTGCGATTAATAATAATGTGCGCGGGAGGAGGCGGCGGTTAAGGAACCGCACAGAAGCCAACGGCGGTACGCGGTTAACCGGCATTTTCCGCCAGAACGTTTCAGTCACAACGGGCAAGGAAGGCCGCCCTCCTCGTCATCCTTTTGGTCCTAACTACCGCACGGTACATGATACATCGTTATGAAATAATATTAATAGTAATAATAATACCTATATTATGTACATTTATATTATAGGAGTGGGCGCACGCTATTAGCAGAACGAGCGCCTCGCTGTCGTCCGTACCCTCGCGTCGACCGGCCGTCGTTTATGCAGGTCCGTGGTTGGCCGGGCTGGGGTTCAGTTGGCCCGGCCCACCGCATAAAGGACCCGACCCAATGTAAATAAGATCTTCTGGCTGTCGTTTGACATTACATTATATTATACCGACTTCTTCATCCCACCCACAGCTCGTCGTCGCCATATATTATCGTGTTCACATAATCTGCAAGCGTTCTTTTAATTCAATGGACCAACACTAATTAAAATATCATAGTGCGGAAGCACGACCCTACACTAATGCGTCCTTATACAAACTCCAATTATTACCGGTGTAAGTACATATTCATATTTCATAACCGCAGATAATAGGTACGCAAACATTGTTTTAAAGTTTAAACGGAAACGCGCCAGGTAGTGGCGTAAATTCTCATCGAAGGGAGATGACAAAGGCTGGAGTAGGTAAATCCGGTAAATATATAATTCATTTCAAGTTTTAACATTTATTTCAGTTACAATTTATAAAATACAAGGTAAAAAATATGTATAGTTGGCCCAACTAAAATTATAGTTATTACAGAGACACAAATCACAATACATTTTTAGTTGGAATAACTCAAAGAATAACTAAATAAATAGTTGGCTCAATTAAGCATTTAGTGTTCCGAACTAATATATATAGGTGCTAAAAAAATTAACTGAGACAAATATTTATTTAGTTATTTTAACTAAAAATTTATTAGGTCCCTGTACTAACCATAATTTTAATTAGACCAATTACGTATTTTTTCTTAGTAATTAGATTGTATCGCCTGTCGGTTGCTTGTGCGTTTATTAAAAATGTCACGAATAATATAATATCGTATACATTTAGTGGTATCTACTTTCAAATTTCAACATAATTTAGTGCCCCGTGATTTATGTATAAAATGTATTCATTTTTCTATAACCCTTCAGGCCTCATTACAGTCTTAGACATAAGACATTATATTTAGTATAATATCTGGTATAATATCTATTATCTATTAGTAGGTAATAACAATTACACTGTTAGAACAGTCCCACAAATAATTTGCACGATAAGCGCAAATTCCAGTTACACTATTACACAGTAACTGCTATAACTGTTATAGCATCCCTGATATTGGTCTGTACTCAGTATTTATTTATCTACATCTATATCTATCTATCGTTGTAATAAATTCAAAAGGTCTAAATTATTTTTGAATGAACTGATAGATTGTAGAATAAAAATATTGATGAATGATTTTTAAGGAATACCTATACAGGTTTATATAGGCTAGAGCGATAATTTATTTTCAAGTAGTTTATTAATTGAACTTTTAACAAAATATTATTAATAAGATAGAACAACTAAACTCATTTATTTACAGTTCCTCAAGGTGTACATATGTTTTGTCATTGTTCTACGTTTAATAAAACAATTAGGCTCTAAAATGCCTGTTAACCATTAACGGTAAATTAATAAACATTTTCTAATTATAAAAAATACGCCAACGTATAGCCCTCACCCTCAGATACATTACTCTATGAATTGTATATTACATTTTTTTGCTCTAAAACCGTCATTTATCAAGCAAAACGTATTCTGCGTACTTATAGCTACATGTATAAGGTTATATAGGTAGCTATGTTTAGGTTAGAAAAATATTTAAAAACGTTATTGTGACCGCTGTGATAAGCTTACAAAATCGATTGACAATAAATAATCCTCATTGCTGTACCACAGACTATATGAAAACAGATAGCTCACTCGGCTTTCATATACGGTCTGTGGCTGTACTAATAAATATATATTATACAATTTAGTTAAAATTTTAACTCTGATTTTGGGGAAAATTTCTTATTTTGAACTCCTTAACAAATATGGACATAGCTATTATCTATTTCATGGTCTAGCAAAATACTTTAACATCTATTCAAATAATTGTATAGGTACTATACAATTATTCTAATGTACCTATGTAGGTATATTATAAAGCACTAACTATAAATAAAACGAAAGGAAAAGTCAAAATGAAACAGTCGTATCACGTATTACTGTAAGGGTTTCGTAGAAAAAAATATAAAGTATTTGTATTGAATCGAGATTTACCCACAGAGCGCATTTTCATGTTTATTTTTTATTATAAAATCGGCGCTATTATGTTAGGCGATTCATCCGTTGAAATATTATTTTTGATGCTCGTTATTTTTTTTACGGCGTCATTCACTCAATCCAAAGATATTATTCAACAAACGCGCAATTATTTTGCCAAGTACTCTTTACGCTTGGTAGATCTCAATGCTTTTATATTCACTATAGGTACACAAAACATTAGTTTATTACATTTTAAAATTATTATCATTATTATTGACCAAGAATAACATCACTGTTAAAAAAATATCTCATAAATGGAGAATAACTTCAAGTTGAAACTTCTCTTTAGGTTTTATAAATCCACCACAGAAATGTTATGTTGTGTGAAATATTGAGTGAAAATATTACGAGTATAATTTGTATGTTATAAAAATGAATAGGAATTTGCATGTATTTCATATAATTAATTTCTAAATTATTCACTATTAAAATACATATTTTGTATGGTTCTCCACTTGAAACGGTATGTTTAAAGGTTTCTTCCTTAATTATTTCGTATTTGGAAAAAGAGTTATGCAATTTTTAATATATTATAGATAATACTATAATTAATAATTTGATTTAAAAGTCGTTTCGTATCTTCTTTATTTTAAAACATACATCCTACACGGAAATTTGGATTGCATAATAACGGTTGGATTTTCATAATTTTGTTTTTTATTCTAATTGCACCTTAATTAAATACTTAAGTCATAAGATTTGAATACACAGAATATGGAAAAATTAAACAAAATCTAAAATTGTTTAATTCTTTCTAAATTCCAGAACGATATCCCAGAATTCACATCGAAGCGTTTGATTGTGATCAAGTATTGATATGATTAGATTAAATTATTGCATTGAAACTTTGCTAACTTTCCTACTACAGTATACACGTACTGCTTATACTTTATTGATTGAAACTGTACTGGTATATATAATTAAATATACTGAGCTCGGTTTGTACTAAAAGCTAGTTTATGCCATGTTGGTTTACACTGTTTCAAAGCTTTAACCAAAGTTAAAAATTGTATCTTATAAAAATCTATTACATTCACATTTTTTGTTTACAATATTTCATTCGACAATATAAAACCAAAATTAATTATAAATAAAGCCTTAATAAGTGACTCAGGTGAGTGGTGATAGATCCGTATTAAGCTTGTAAACTAATAGGCTAAATTCTTTGGGCCGCATTGCTCTGTACTTTTATTTTACGGTCCGGCCAGCTATATGGCGGCCACCTTTGGAGCTATAAGCTATATTAAAATAAGTATAGCTATATTATATTAGTAAACTGTTTTGTAGAAAAATCTAATTTTCTGATTTTGTTCGATCACGCGATCAACTTTGTCCAGTTTATACTAATAAGTATTTGCATTTTAACTTTTAACAGTTAATTTCTTATATGTTTATAAGTTTCAAGATAAATAATACTTAACAGGATGTGAAATAATTATACAAAACCCCAAATGACTTGTACGTTTTAATCGCAATATCACCGTCTGAATACATTAATGTGCCATTACGAGTACCTACTGCGATAAAGTGTGTGTACCAGTAGATACTTGACTTTTTCATTGCCAAACAATAGGCCGGAGAGAAGTTAAATAACAACATAACACAGCAGGATAATGAAACAGAATGAAGATGAAAACGGAACATGAAGGGTGAGTTTTTCGTCGACAAGTGGATGCTGGATCTCTATTAGGAGTTTGTGTCTGTATTATTTCTGTATCATACAATTATTAATATACATATATATAAAGAGCTATGCCAAAGGGCAACTTGCCATCACCACAGGGTTTCATTTTATACAAACGGGCAAATAAAATAATGACCACTCCAGAAGACCACCAACGTCCCTTTGTGTAAGCTGTGCGAATTGCCTCAAAAGTCAAATGCTTATTCGTTGTTTAGAGATCCGCTATTATTATAAATCCACCTACGCCAGTTGTTTAGAAAAGAAAGTTCATTGTAATTTTATTTGTTTGAACTCTAAATCCGTGTCTAAACGTTTATGACTTTATAAAATATTATTCTGTCTTCAAGGGCTAAAACCATAATAAAGGCAAACTGAAAAAACTCTAATTACCTACATAGCCCGTTTTTTTAAATGCATCGCCATGTCCGATAAGGGAATCAATTTCGCATTACTTCCTCCTCGGTTGGCATAGTTTTTTTTGAAAATTATTACAATCTGTATTAGTATATACAATAAGTAAAATTTAGGGCCAATTTATTTACAACGCTGGACGACTTGATCGAAGGGGGCGTCCATTGACACTATAAAATGTTTTTAATTTATTTATATATTTACATTTGGGTTGAGAAGATCTCTGGGCCATTTACGTTTAAGGCGGCGTGGTAGGTTGTCAGGAAGAGTGAAGGAAGATAATTTAGATATTAGTGGATTTTGGTGATTGGAAGTGTTGTTGTGGAAGTTTTTATAGAATTGGGTAGCTAGATAAGTTATTGTTGGAGTTTTTATATCGTTATGTAGGGTTCGGCTGCTAACATACCATGGGGTATTAGTAATGAGGCGAAGAGATATTGATTGAAAGGTTTGACTTTTTTGCTGCGCCGCATAACTGGATGCCGTAAGTCATAGAAGGCCGAATTAATT